TTCAGCCCTTTTCACTGTCCTGATGTCCTCTGCCAGCTGCTGTTCTTACTTCTGTAGAGTCTCAGGCTTATGGAGTGATACTCTTTCTTTCTAACTGTACCTGGCTAGGGCTGACTTACCTAGCAAAGGCCCTACCAGACCACAGAAAGGCCCTACCAGACCACAGAGCACTTCTCTTTCCTTTGCTCTTCTTTTTTTCTTTCCACCCCTCACTTCTAAGGATAGTGACTTACTATTTCTTTTTCCTCCTTTATCCTGCCATATTAAACTTTCCAATATGCACTTTGTATAGTCTTCCTTTGATTCATGTCCACACTCACCAGCCAGATCCTCTCCAGTCTTATAAATCCCAGGTCAAATTTACTCTTCAACAGAGCTTTTACTCTTAATGTCTTTTTGCAAACATTATTATTTGAATGTGGTTTTTTAGGATTTTCAGTACCCATTCACCATAGCTATACACTTTTGCAATCAAAAACAAAAATGTGAGGTAGACCACCAAAATTATTTCTAAATAGCTTTGGAGAGCACTTGAGAAAGGGTGAGCAGTTTTTTGGGTTTGAACCAGGTTTTTATAATTCATTCAGTAGTGAAATTTTAATTAACATCTTTTTGCTACAGTTATTTCATTTTTCCAGACTATCCACTTTTATACAACACAGGATTCCTTATGCTGTATTTCTAGGATAGTTTATTTCATCCCATTTCTCAAGGCCATTGCTGCCTACACACTCTTAAACTTTGTAATGCTTCTATGCCAAACACATAAATACCTTGATAACAATTTAAAAAAAATATGAATATTAATGAAAAGAGGGGATATGCACGGAAAAAAAATTAATTTAGCACAAGGATTACCTGTGGCTTATCTAAGAACGACAGCAGGATTTGTTCTGTGGTCCAGCTGATCAGGTAGACACAGGTACTGCAAGAACCTTTTTTTCCTACTTCCATAGAGAGGATTAATGTTAAGGCATACAGTTCTCTGTCAGGACTATTAATTGCCTAAATTCCTCAAGCAATAAGCATCTGTCTGTGTGGTTTTTTCTCAAAAGCAGTGGTGAAGTGGTGGGGACTGCCAGCCTCTTCCAAGGAGGGCTGGTAGACCTCTCTACCTCATGTGGGGTCACCACTCCTCACCATGCTTCACATCAATGAACCCCAAGAGGTCTCTGCATGGAGCAAATCCATTCTCCAGCTTTTTTGTAGCCTGCACACTGCCCTGGACTTTGTTCATGCGGGGCAGTGGGTGAAGCCTCAAGGCATGAGGGAACAAGTCACCATGTGCTCCCTGTGGCCTGGGCTTCCTTTTCCTCCCACAAGCAGCAGAGGAGAGCACATCTCCACACATGATCCCAACATGTCTGATGGTGCTGTGACTCCCAAATGCCAGACTGCTGGCCCAGAGGTCAGGGTGTCTGAGGCACCTCAAGGTGTAGCTGTAAGGGCTTGGTCCTGTGTTTTATTACACCTGGTGGACTTACCAGCTCTTGTGCTACAGACACTGGCACGAGCATCATGAGTTCCAAATAAGGCTGCTGGGTGGCCTTTTACATCCAGACATCAGTTTCTACCATCAGTGGCTTTGGATCCAACCAGACAGTAGCCCTGAACTAGGATGCAGTGTCCCTGTGGCGATGCAGCAGCTGCCAGCAGCTACTCCCTCTGCGCCATGCCCCCGGCTTTCCATCCAGCCTCCACTCTCCCTCCATCTCCTTGAGCTCTGTGAGCAGAACTACACACCTTGAGAGGACACAGGTTGTATATAATTAAACGACAGCCACTGAGGAAGACAACCTCCCAAGCCACAGAGTGGTTTGGTGTTCCAATCTGTGGTCATTTATGATGAAGAAGTATTTTCCGAAGGAAAACAGGCCATTATTGAAATAGCTGCTTCTCCCCAGTGTTTTCAGCTCTCCATCTCTCTGGGGCTGTAATGAGACTGCAGCTCCATCCAGGCTCAGACCCAGGCACTTTCCAGTTCCTAGTCATGTTTCCCCACTTTGCTACTGCCACATAGCCACAGCGTGCATCAGGATGATCTGCACATACCAAGCAGGAGGAGGAGGAGTTAAAGAGCTGATTTACCACCTTGGAGACAGGGACTGTAAATCACAGATCCTATTAGCAGGCTTAGGTGAGGCAGATGAAGAGGGCTTACTTGCCCACACTGGACTGCAGTCCTGGATGTCAAAAGGACCTTTTCAGACGAGGAATGCTGAAGACCAAGTTCCAGAATGCTAGTACCTGCCAAGCCCAGGTTCCCCAGCACACTGAAATCCCCATAGCAACTCTGTTTAGAAAGACAAAGTGATGTAACAGTCATAGATGGTTTAAAAAAAAAAAGAAGGAATACTGCATAGGAATGTATAACATCACCACAGGGACACATCAAACACCTCTATTTGGCCAGACTGACAAATATCAAAGAGTTGGTGAAACATGGTGCTGATGTGGTCTGTAGTGGGCCTCCAGAAAGGATGACTCTAGAGAAGAATGCCCTAAAACAAAACAATGTGCTCTTTTCCCGGCAGGCTACATCATTGTATTTTTGTTGTTAGGATAGTCTCTGCTTGTCAGGGGCCACTCTCTTAAACCTCCATGGCATTTATTCTGCACAAACATATTTTAAAGTAGATGCAAATGTCCCTATAAATATTAGTAATATGAGAACAGAGCCCTAAGGAAAATTACTAGATAATAGTCACTTTGAAAACTTTGTAGCATCAAATGAATATGGTGTTCATGAAGTGTTTTGCAGTGGGAAAAATTTTGGAGTCTGGGTTAAACTCTTACTTTAGCACTTATTCTTTTGCAATTACTGACATGGAATTATATCCTTCCACAGGAACTAGTTCTAAAAAGTACATTTAATGTGAATGAATGCACAGAATATCCTGGAAATATAGATGTAAGTCATGAGATCATCTAGTACCACCCATTAGCTACCTAGGCCTGAATAAGCTGAATAAGCCAAGCAGTCTGTATATGCAACAAAGTGTGGAGGAAAAATATCCCTTATGTAGGAGTTGAGCAGATCTGCAGTCCCTCAAGTACAGTGCCTGTAACATACTTCTGAACTCCAAGATGTCCCAAACTGAAGTTTGAATAGTACAAGGAAATTTATCATTCCTCATAATTCTGGTGGAAGACTCAGGACTCCCTGGGTGAAGCAAAATGTGGCAATTCCTCTGGTTGCATTTGTTGCTTAAACTGGTCACAGGCTGATGCTTTGGGGTCTTCAGTAAGGCTGTACGGAATTTACATCCTCTGGAAATATGCCAAAGTTTGCAGAAAAATATTTGTCCCACTTCTGAATAAAAACTAAAGAAACTAAACACTTTTTGCAGCTAATATGGGGAAAAGAAAAAGGGCAACTGTTGGAACAACCCACAATATATTTTACAGCTGGCTAGGAGTCTTTTGGTCTGACAAAAAAAAAATAGATTCTCTGGTAAAGCTGAAATTGTCTAGCAGCAAATCATTCTAGCATACAATTCCCTACTCCTTTCCCTGTTATATCTTTGGACTTTTTTTCTTGAATTGAAATATAAGCCAAAAATTATTGCACAACCAAACAAGGAGTGAAAAAAAGAACCTCTTGACCGATTGCATTGAGTAAATGTCACCTGAATCAATAGAGTGCAACAGATGGAGGTTTTACCATTGTTTTTTCAAATTAATCATTAATTTATTTTTTTAAAGTAATGACTATAAATCTTCCTAGAATAGATTGTTATTCTGCCAGTTATGATTCATTAAACCAGTACAGAATGAGATCATTATCATTTAAGTAAGCATTTTTGAGACTGCCAAATATCCTCCAAGTATTTCCTGCAGCTGGGACTGCAAGCATCTTCCTTGGAGCTGGCAGGCTGCTTGCACCATATCCTGCTCCAAGAGCTTCTCGTGCCTCTGACTTGCAGCCCTGTCATGGCCACAGGGCCCCGCTTGAGTGGGTCATTTCACTTGCCCCTCAGGCAGCAGCAAAACTGGAAGCTGACTTCAAGATGCAAAGCTGATTGTGGAGTCAGCACCTGCAGAGATGCACAACCATCACCCCAAGGAGCCGGGGCTGGAAAACTCTTCCCAGAGCAGGATTTTTGCCCATCCAAGCCTCCAGCTCAGCTGGCTGATTACTGGGACATAGCAGTCACTGATGCCTTTGGATAAACTGGGATTTGTCTCCTCCTCTTAGAAATTCCCACATTGTAAAGCCAAAGAACGCAGCAGGCAGAGTGCAGCCATAGGAGACAAGTTACCAAAAACAGGACTTTACTTTTTAATTTCTTTTTCATGTAATTTCCTGACTGCATTATTGAAACAACAATGACATAAGAGGCATGATGCAGCTACAGGGAAAAAAGGTGCAGGTAAAAGCAAAAGAGCCACTGATGTATTTCTGTAGAAGAAAGGAAAGGGAGCAGTAAAGGGAATTCACAACTTACCTAACAAATAGGCACACAACCATTCCCTGCCCCCCCAGCCTATTTTAGAGTCCTCTGACACATGAAGGATGTCAAAAAGTGAAAAACAAACAAAACCTCAGAAAAACCCAACCCCAAAGAAACCCACAAACCACCACCCCAAATTACAGCAATTACTTGATCGGGGCATTTTCACTTCCTAATCTGTGAGAGAGAAATTCCCCCGGGTCATCTGACCTCTGTTGAAACTAAACCAGGAAGAGGAGCAGCAGCAGTCAGCGAGTGCAGGGTGTTCTCCAGCTGTACAAAAGCCTCTCCTGCGTGAGCCAGAGCTCAGAGCAGCACAGGGATGTGCATGTGTGCGTATACCTAGCAAGGCGAGGTGCAAATATCCTCCCAGCCACATCATCTCTTGCACAACTCTCCAATCCTGTGCAGCCTGGCAGACCTTTTCCTTTTCCCTCTGCTGCTCGTCTCCAAACATGCCTCTAGAGCAGAGCTTCTGAAGAGCTGCTTCCCCCTCTGCATCTCCCTGAAAGCAGCTCTCTCCAAGAAGAGGCAGTGACCAGCAGCATGGTGGGAATGATGGCAATGAAGACATGGATTGAGCCGGTGGTTGCAAGCTCGCAAGTGGCCAGCGCCTTCTACGACACAGCTCTGCTGCTGGTGGTGAAAAACTACTACAACCAGACCAATGGCACTGCTCCTTCCCATGCACTAGAAGATGCTCAGCAGAAGGCTGTCTCCAATTTTTACATCATCTACAACCTTGTTCTGGGCCTGAGCCCACTAGTGTCAGCCTACGGCTTGTCCAAGCTGGGGGACAGGATACATCGGAAGATCCCCATCTGCTTCCCTCTTCTTGGTTACTTGGGCTCCAAAACTCTCCTGCTCCTCCTGATCCTGCTGGGCTGGCCAATCGAGGTGATGTATGGGGCTGCTGCCCTCAACGGGCTGACGGGAGGCTTCACCACGCTTTGGGCAGGCATCATGGCTCTGGGATCCCTGGGCTCCTCCGAGAGCAGGAGGTCTCTGCGGCTCATCATTATTGAACTGGTGTATGGCCTCGCTGGGTTTGTGGGAAGCATGGCATCTGGTTACCTCTTTGTTGGCTTCAGTGACCGCTATCGAGAAGGCACTGTGCTGGTGTGCTGCAGCATCGCTTGCTATGCTTTCTGCCTCCTCTACAGTATTTTTATCCTGACAGTCCCCAAGCCAGGAGCCTCCTGCCCAGCCAAAGCTAAGAGTGCAGAAGAGGTGGGTAGCCAGCCACCAGCCCATACAGGAGCAGCAGCAGCAACAGGGAGTTCCCAACCTTCAGGGGGCAGCAGCTCCTCTCTAATATCCCCCTCGAAACTCATCATCATCCTGCTTTTTATGGCAGCAATCCTCTATGACCTTGCCGTAGTTGGTGCAATGAACATACTCCCACTGTTCTTGCTCAGGGAGCCTTTAAGTTGGAATGCTGTGGAGATCGGCCATGGCAATGCTGCTGGGTACGTGATCTTCATCACCAGCTTCCTAGGGGTACTTGTATTCTCCAGATGCCTCAGGGACATTACCATGATCATGATTGGAGTAGTATCGTTCAGTGCTGGCATCCTCATCATGGCCTTCGTGCAGTGGACGTTCCTGTTCTACATTGGTGAGTCAAACAGCCACTCACGTGAGCAAATGCACCCCAAGAAAGGGGTGTTCCAGCACCACTGGAAGGGCTTTTTGCTCTGCTTTACCACAGGTTTCCAAGCAGGGAGTTAGACAGACCGTCGCATGAGCAGTATGCAAGAGAACTTTATTATTACCCTTTCCCCACATCTCCCACTGCACTCTTACACTCAGCACCCTACAACATCCAGAGGAAGCATATACTCCTGCCAAGGCTTAGTTTAAGGCCAGTTGACTTGTAATTTGTCATTTGATCACAGACCAGATCTGAGCAGGGAAACAATGTTCACACTCTGCGGGAATGGGAATTACTGCTGACTCCCTGTACTAGTTGGACCACATCACCATATCAATGGGAAACACTTGCTTCTTGTGAGCCAGAAACAAAATGGCAAAGGCTTCCTATTAAGCAAACATCTTAAGATGGGATTTATTTTTTTCATATGAAGGCTCTTATGGCTGATGGGAAACTTAATGAAACATTGGAGCTGCTTTAGCAACTAAAACATCGTAATAATGTAGTTTACAAATCTCACATTATATATAAATGACCAAGGGACTGATAATAATAGATGGGGTGGCATCCAATGATAAACGAAAGGCAAATTTATTTTTGGGAGGTAACCTCTGACGGAACACAAAAAATAAACCCCAAGAATTGGGTTTTTGTAGCAGAAATGTCTGACAGAGTATCATGTATTGTATGGCTTTGAGGTTTTGCTTCTGAAAGTCAGAAAAAACCTGAAGATAAATGGCCTGAAGCAATTTTTTCTGTCTGCCCCCATAGGGAATGAGAAATTGAAAATTAAACAAAGTTATTCTAAAGGGAAAGATGATAGAATATTGTATTTGAGTAGTAAGCCAAACACTTATTAAGTGAAATTTTTAAGAGATTTTGCTTATTTAGGCAGTTAGGATGGGGAATAAAAGATAAAAAAAAACAAAGTAAAAAAAATGCTTGTTCATCATCATGAACACATGCTGCTATACAGTGTGTATGGTGTTACTGCACTGCAGAAGATACTGCATTGCAGAAGCATCTTGGTACACTAGACATGGACCAAGTCTTCCCTGAGGCTGGTTCTGCTGACAGGAAGGTAATTCCAGCTACCTATAAATTTCCACACTAGAGAAAGCCTAAAATACTGCAAGCCAGAAGTGCCAAGATAAAAGACAACTGTAGTGTTATAAAGGTATTGTTCCTGTCAAGGCTGTGTAGTATTAGGGGCTCTGTCTGCTGCTTAGACTCAAATCAGCATCCTTACTATCCTAAGGACAGTGCTATATTCCATCTCTTCTGGGATGTCTGGTCGAGACCAAAGCCTATGTCTAGTTTGGGCAAAGTACCTCTGCTAATGGGAGCAAGAGGTGGCTTATCTACCTTGTCTTGAAGTGAAGACCTACTTCTTTCTGGCACTCAAGGAACAAAAAAGACGAAGCAAAGAAGCAAAGTGCCTGCCCAAGCCAGAGGCATGTAGTCTTCAAAAGCAGTGGCTGCTGTGCTAGGTAACAAAGTGCAGGTACTGATGATAACTACAAAATCATTGCATTACAGCACGGGCAGTGATGCTCTTTGCCCTCATCCCCTTACCAACCATCAGGTCCATGTTGTCCAAGCATGTCGAAGGATCATCCTATGGTAAGTATTTGTTACCCTACCAATCAAAAAACCCCACAAATCTCTTCATTCAGCCTAGACCACAAAGAGAAAGGTAAGTTATTGCTGCAATCTGTGCTTTGCGTAATAATAACAGGACAGATGATACCACAAATGGGAAGGGAGGAGCAGAGAAACTTGCAGGACGAGATTGTCACATCCAATCTTCTCATCCTTGCTTGCATCAACATTTATCCGCAGAATTTTCAGCACGTGCTTTGAAAGATTACTATCAGTGTGTAGGTCAAAGGCAGGGAAAATAATTGAGGTGCTGCTCAAAAACACAGTACTCCAGGGAAAACCAAGAGCACCAGGATGTTGAGTTAAAGCACTGTGATATTCACACCATTTATATTTGGCTTCTTTTACTTACTGTTTTGCGAAGGATGGATTTCTTTCATCTTTTTTTTATGTTCTCCAAACATTTTTCCACATGTTTGGCAATTTGTTCCTGTCAGACCATGATTTAACTGCAAAGAATAAACTTCGCATAAAAATGGACCCTTTTTTGAACATAGCAGCAGGAATTCTTTTCCATTAGAAAATTTACTACAAAATAGTAAAATATATTTTACAAGAGTGTATTGAAGGTACGATTTTTACACCAGTGAGCTAGATTTAGACACAAGAAACACGTGTTCAAATAGCACCACAGGCCCCCAACTACTCCATGTCCTCCAAACATGTTCCCACAGCCATCCTTCACAACCCTGTCCTTTCTGCCTTAGGAACACAACACTGTTCTGTAACCAGCTCACTCCTACTGCTTGTGCTCCCTCAATGTGCACTGTAGCAAAACCATCTACCTGACACAAAGAGCACAGCTCACACTCCAATTAATCATTATTATTAATCATAACATTGTTTTAAACCTCCACCATGAACCATATGGGCTGCACCTAATGACAGCAGCAGACCAGATCTCAAGCAGGACCCTGCAGCAGAGCAGCCCTTGCCTTCTGGTAGCAGTCTCATCTCCTTACGTGGAGGAAAAGGCTACCAGGGCAGCAAGCTCAGCATGCAGCCCTGATCTTGCTCCCAGTTTGCACATCCCAGCCAGGCTGCATTACTTCCCCTTCACCCATTTATCATGAGAGACACACTTAGAAAAAGCTGTTTCAACTAGAATTTTTTGAACATAGCAGCAGGAGTTCTTTTCCATTAGAAAATGTACTACAAAACAGTAAAATATATTTTACAACAGTGCATTGAAGGTACCATCATACAAATCACATATACCTCCCCATTTCAGGCATTATCATCCTTTCAACCCTGTGGCCCACTCTTCTGGCCTAGGGCAGAAGCAGACCATGACTAAAGTCTCTCCTGTCCTGAAGATGTTTCTACCTTCTAGGGAAAGGAGCAGTTTATTGCTCAGTTTATTGCTGTTTTTCTAAGCAGCTACCTTTACATCTAGACTCTTCAAGCCATTTTCCAGCTGGATCTTTTGTCCTATACCTAACAGAAGGAAAAATCATTTAACTGTGGTCCAGAACAGAAGCAGATGCAAGCTCATGTCATCTGGTGTTTTGTGAAGCAATGACCACATTGCTCTTCCACACAGCTGTGACCCTGGATTTGTGAAGAGGTATCACAGCCAGTTTTTTAATCCCCAATAACAAACTATGTTCTTGTTTTACAGGTAAGGTGTTTGTCCTGCTGCAGCTGTCTTTAGTCATCACAGGAGTAGTGACATCTACAGTCTATAACAAGATCTATCAAAACACACTGAACTGGTACAGCAGCTTCTGCTTCATTTTGTCTTTTCTAGTTGGCTGCCTGAGTCTTCTCCCTTTAAGGTAAGGAATAGAAAAGGCTTTGTTCAAAAGGACACACTATATTTTCTCCGTGCTTACTGATATTAAGTCTAAAGTGGGGAAAAGAAAGTTGAATTTAAAATGAAAAAAATTGGAAGAAACAAAGAAACTTGCAGAAAGGTGTTGACAAATATCCAGGACATTCAAAGAATGAAAGTTGCAACATCTAGTCAGTGTTTCCTTAATCTTTTTTTTTTGCTTAATGTAGCATGAATATTTGGCAGATTTTAAGTGATAATCCTAGGAAACAATGCATTCACACAGATGTAAGTGCTTGATACTGTGAAAATAGTAGTAAGTCGAATGAAAGAATAATCCTACACAAAGCAAAATGTTTTTTTAAAATTCCATTACAGGTTACTTACTCATTGTGATAGAAAACAATAATCTGAGTTTCCCTCAGGTTTTTCTTTCAAAAAGAAACCATTACCACAGTGAAGGAAATGGTTACTTTTCTGAGCCACTGACTTTGCCCAACTGTACCCCTACAGAGTGACTGAGAGGTATAATTTCAAGAACAAGTTTTAAGCACAAAACCAGCTTAATTTGAAGAGAGAAGGCTGAAATAGCATCTCTGTCTACTTTTCCAGAATTTTTGAAGTATCTGTCTTCAAATCTCAGCTATGCTTTGCTATGATTTAAAAAAATATAGTAGCAGAAAGTTTAAAGGCACTGTGTATACCCACTTCAGTGGTATCACTTAAAGAGGAAGAAACGAAAAAGGAACACTAAGGAAAGCTCTTACATCACCACCTGTTTTATCCAGAGCACCAAAGGCTTTCTGGGCTTGTGAACACACTTGACAACTGGTGTCAGCAGGACTACTAGTATGGGAGAGGCTACATCATACTCATCATTCCCCTGGCTCTGCTTGTCCTCGTCATGTTTCCCAGACACAAAGGAGTTGTTTCTTACGCACAATCCTCTGTTTAACAGGGAGTCACTGCTTGGTACTCAAATTTTTAATACTGGTTCCTGTAATTAAGGGTTATTAGGACTTGAAGTCTGAAATGTGACAAGTGGTACCAATCTCATTGTTTGTACACAAGAGAGGCTGGCAAATCACTGAAAGGATTCACATTAGCACTCAGCCGGCTTCAGATACCCCAGTAAAGTTTAAGATATAGATGGGGAGAAAGCAAACTGCAGTTGGAGAAAGTACTTTGCTAATTTTTTTATCATCTGCATTTTTATTGTTCTTTACAGCTTTGTGGCCATCAAACAACGTTCAACCACTGGCTCCCTTCAGATTCTGACTGAGTGACAGGCATCTTTTGGTTGTTATCAACTCTCTAAGCTACCGAAGTGGAAGGTTTGCCAAGCATTAGTCCCCACAGTTACCAACATTACTGAAAGTATATAATTTGTATTTCCATTTCACAGCATGCCTCGGCCTCTCAGTCACTAAGCTCACCCAGAAAAAGAAGCTTTCCTTTTTACTTCTGCAGTACCTCATCTTGTAGAGTATGTGCATTGGCTATTGCACACTAGCAGTCCTCAGAGCATTCTGCTTTCTGCTGGGCTAATTAGCAATAGCACAGAGGGACAACAATAAAGGTTAGAAATGAAAACAGTGTTTCTAGACACACCACTCAGTATGGAAGGGGAAAACAGAGGATCAGCTTTCCATTAGTTCCTTCCTGTCTGTTCATTCAGAAACCTCAGGGCAGTTCTGTGACTTTGGCTGATGAAACAGGGGGCTGCGAGCCACATAGAATGTGCACACAGCCATCAGCAGGACACACCAGCTCTCCCAAGTGCTACAGAAGATGTAATCAGCACAGCCAAATAACGTCACAGAAAAGACCATTAAATACAGAAATACCATTGTAAAAAGATGTAAGATTAAGAGACTTTTATTAATTCCTACAATAAAACACTCCTGAACAGATATTCGTGCCCTTGACTTCTGGGAAATTGTCCCACTCTCTCTGGACAGTCCTGCAACAGAGCTCACAGGACTAAGACTCAAGAGCCAATGCTGGTATTTCAGCTCACACCACCAGGATGTGCTGCTCTTGTAACGTGCTAAGAACAGGTAAGCACAGCACACTACTCCTACAGGCTTTGTGGAGGTGTAGGGACACCAATACCAAGCAACAGTCATACAATACAGCAACTAGAATGTGATGATGTCAGATAAATCCAAACATGAGTCAAAAGTCTGGCATGCCTCAAAAGAATGTGTTTGCTTACACACTAATTGAACTAACAACGATTAAGTGGCTTCCAAGGTCCTGGACTAAGAAAAGGGAAGTTAAAAGCCCTTCAGTAACTGAAATAATCTGGAGGCAAATCAGGGGCAGCTTCAGTTCAAGTAGGGATGCAGCAAGAAGTTGGTTATTCACTGTGCAACCCCATCTTCTGAGGAGGTTGCTGCCACCCAGTTCCTCTCCACACACACTTGCCATCTTTCCTCAGCTCCACGCTTCACTTTCAGTAGCAGAAGTAATGCAACAACAGATGACTTCTACTTAAATCAACTGCGGAATAAGATTTTAGGGAAAGGGTATTTCTGCAGTAAGATAGGGAGCTGCTCAACAAAATAAGCACACACATAGTTTCAGTGGTGAAGGCTGCAAAAAATGAAACTTTATTCTAAGTAAAGGAGTCCTCTTTTAATACATTTATTGGTCCATTCCATTAAATTAATTGAGGTAAACAGACGGTGCATTTTAAAAAAATGTACACACTAATAGAGAATTACAAACAGTTTTACCTCAAAATGTTTTTCTCCATCAATACTAGTTCCATAGTAAACAATGCACAAAGTATATTTATACAGAGATATATGAAAGGGTATAGAAACATGCCAGCACCAGAAGGCAAGACAACATTTCCTAGCCTGCAAGTCTGAACAAGAGCACAGTTACCAGATTTGGTCAGGTGCAGGAAACAAAAGCCTCCTTCCCCTTTTTACATTGTTTACTAGCTAATTCACACAGAGACAAGTCTTTTCACAGCTTTCATTTTGTTTTTAAATGGTATGAACAGTGACTCTAGTTCTGGTGAGTGGATTTACAGAGGTTGAAACCAGAAGTCTGGATAATGAGCCAGCACCATTTTGGTCCCCACCACTGACTCCTTCAACACAATGTGTGAGGCTCATAGCCAGCTTACCTTCAACTGCATGGCCCAATTCTCCAGACCTTAAGGAGGGACAGACGGATGTAGGCACAGAGGAAATGAGAACAAGGACGGTGCTTCTTTATTTTTGTGTACTACAGACAAAAGCCCTTTGGCTCTTTGTTATTACAGGACTGTCAGCAACCTGCCTCCCTGTGCAGTGGGAATGTGGCACTGGCCCCAACCCTGCTGTTTGATCTGAGGGTATGGATACATCTCAGCAGCAGCAGAGTTAAGGAAACGGTTTAGCTTCAAAGCATAGAGTACCAAGACCTTCAAAGTAGTGTAGGACAGCGACCAGCCTTTATTGTTTCAGCATGCCTCTTATATAAGGCTGATCTACGTCTACCTCTTTGGAAAGTGCATTATTTTCTGCACAAATACTGTGCCCTAGGCATGCAGCCTTAAAACTTATCCAGTTCATTACTAAGTATTTGTACGAGTCAGACACCTCAGCAAGACTTCAAAGTGCTAAGCACAGAATTAAGCACTGCCACTTTAGTCTGTAAAGTTGGTTAAACAGCACTCCCAAAAACTTTTAAATGCAACATTCAGTCTGCCAGAAGGCAAGTTGATTCCTGTGATCCCCAGTTTTACTTCACAAAACAAACAAACAAAAATAATCTCAAAGTAGTAGCAACTCCCCTATCTTAAAAAAAAAGTCCCTACTTTCCCTACATATTGGTTATTGTAGTAAAAGTTAATATACCAGAGGCAAAACTGTTCTACCTTCAGAATTTAGGATGACTGAACATCTAATAAGCTAATTTAGTCTATGCAATTTTGCTCAGGGGTTATCAGCACCAGGATTTTAAACAGTATGCAACATTAATCATAACCATACACAGTTAAATTATACAAGTTTTAACAAAAGCATGGCTCCTGTTGAAACACTGAACAGTCCCTGCTGGTCTGGGAGGGGATTCTTTTGTATGTTGGCATCTGCAGGACACCTGAAGCAACATGCATCATGAACAGGCTATGCAGAGCCACTGCTGCAAGGCTACTGCACAGTACCTCCACTGAACTGTCTCAGCTGCTCATGCTTTGTGGATATTTTTTTCTACCACTTATCACACTACTTTATCCTTAGAACAAGCATTAGTGCAACAAAAATCCAAGTAGACTTCAGTGAAGAATCCATAGTTTATTCCTTAATACAATTCACATCAGAATAGTTTGTGTCTTTAGGGTTACACCTTTTCATTTTTCAATGTGTACCTGAAAAAGCCATGGTGTTTTAACATCTGTATTTATTGCAAGATTTAGAGCCTGGTAAAGATATACATGAACAATGCATGGTCCATAACTGAGCACAGAAACAAGTGCTTTATTGTGCTGGTGCCACTTAAGAGAAGAAACAAACATCCCCAAAAATAACCAGGACAGCAGCGAATTAGTATCCTCCAAGAGGGACCCTGGCCTGGCTATGGATTAAGAGGACAGCTGGGCTGATTTAAGGACTGCTGAAGAAACCATGTGTTACAAAGGCTCACAACAAGGGTGCCAACTACTTTTGATGTCATTTTAGTGCATATGCAGAGGATGATCTAAGCGACTTAACACTCAAGAAGTTACTCAAAGATGAAGCTTCCGCACTACTCCTGCTTCCCTTTACCAAGACCTTTTACTTATCTCATGAAAGTTTGGGCCATCCAAAGTAAAGAGTCATATCCTGTAATAATTACAGGATAACATGTCATGAGTTTCTCTAGCAGTTCAGGTCTCAACCTCCCACTAGCAGCAGTTATGTGTGGCTTTACAAGTATTACTCTGTACATCTTAGAAGAATTTCTTTTAACTTTTGTAGTTCTCCTGACTGGCATGTTTGGCTGCCCCAAATATCACAGTCAGGAATCCTCCACACACCTCGCAGCCTCTCCCACAGTTACTTCGTGATTTAACAACAGCTCTTCATAAAAATACACCACTCCATAGCTCATAGGAGCTCAGACTCACCACTACACACCATTCTTACACTGTGGCAATTCTTGCAGAGGACTTCTCTTTTGAACGTGAAGTTTTACTTTCCTTGCATAGGCTTAAGAGAGGTTTTAGTGTTTCAGACCATGTAATATATCCTGTTAGTGGCCACTGCCTGACATGCATGTTCCAGCCTCTTCTCCAAATCAACCTGCAGTTGCCACAGCGCCACATACTCTGAGAAGTGCAAAGTGTGCCTGCCTTTCCAGCAGCATAGCCAGAAAGGGATTTGTCTGAAATCAAAACATGCTTTGGATGAGGACAAGTTTAAAAACCATACCACAAAATCAGTGGCATCAGATGGAATAAAATTCAAGCTGATGTTCAACATCTCCAGCCTCAATAGTTACATGTTGATTTCAACTTCACTTGGTACTCTCCACGTCCATTATGCTTCTCATGCACAGCTTTGATGTTAATTGCTAAACTCCCCAGAACCAACACCCACTTCAGTCTGACATAAAACTAAGTGGGAACAGGACCTCAGTCTTGTAAGGCATCAGATGAAACCACTTGCAGGAAAAACCCACCAATCTTTCTACTCATCTTTTACTGTTTTTGTTTGGTTTTTTTTTTTTTTAATAAGATGGAGGGAACAGTGACTAAGTATTAGTTCAAATCATATTTTGCTTGACTTCCAGTGATGTTGTAGAGTCAACTACAAAATTCCATTTACCACACAGGAACCAACTCCAAAAGTATGTTGATCTCTGTTTGTGGAGAACAGGGAAAACTGTAACCCTGAAGGTCAGACTCTTAGATAGTATGCAAGTGCTTGTTCTAGAAGGAAAGACTGCTTCAAGATGATCCCCCCAAGTACTTCCCTTGCACAACAAGAGTAGTCTGTTATTCTGAACCTAACAATAACTTAATGCAGAGTTCTCATTTACACCACATAAGTGTATAGACAAACTGAGTTTAAAACAAGAAGCATAGTTTGTTTAGTACCAGAGTTGTCAGTGAAGGCTGAATCAAAAAGGAAGACCTCTTAAAATGTCTTAAACTTGACTTTTTCATTCAGAGAGCACTACCTCATTAGCCTGAGAGCTACCACAGTACTGCAATAACTCATCTTGAGAGTTGCTATAAAGCCAACAAGCTGAGTAGGCTGCAGGTTCACTTGGTGTTTAGGAAGGGACAAATTCCGAAACAGACAAATTCCAAACCTGATGGGTTGTCACAGGAGAACACAGAATTTGGACATTCTCAATTACTGCTCAGGTTCTTTGCAAGAATGTTAACAGAGATCAAGTAATCACTAAAATTTAGCAGTAAGCACTGAGTTATTTATTCCCTCAAATCCAAATATTACACTGATACAAGCCCCAAACCCCACCCTTAGGATGGTTAAAAAAGATTTATCTGCATGCTGTTAAATCAAGACTCTAGGACCATGGGAATCACATCAGCATTCCTAAGGCCACCAACACCAAAAGACTGCAAGAGAAAGGAGAAAAAAAGGGACTTGCAGAAGCAGTTACATTTCTAAAGGCCAATAAAAACTACTAAGAAAATAGATCTGTAACGAAAGTAGTCTCTTAAAAGACTTGCCATGTGGTTCAGCAGAGACAGGTATGAACACTCTGAACCTACCAGGGTACCCATCTACCTCCCACCAAGCCATTTAAGGCAAGTTTCACACACGCTGATGTGCTTGGTGGAAGCAAACATTTGACACTTTTTGGCTGCTGCAAAAAAACACACGGGAAAGGAAGCAGAGTCCTACCTTTATTACAGCAGGCATCTTAAGTGACCAAGCCTGAAGAGGCTCTAGTAAACTCCATATTTAAAGCATGGTCTAAGAGAATTGCATCACGCAACTTCTGGAGCTAGCTTTAGAAAAGTTAAAGACTCATACTTCCTCCACTATTCCCATAAAAGGGGCCCTTGAAAGGCTGCTGTTCAGCTCATTCCTGCAGCTACGCTGATCCCAATCCCCAAGTCAGTCACAAGTACACTTCAGCCAACTGACATTACTTCATAATCACCACGGTAAACAATACTCAGTAGGAACCAACAGCATGCCACACTCACAAAAACCACAGTTCATGCTCGCACCACAGGCTATCTGTGGGTGGTGGTGGTATGTTCTAAGACCAGACCAACTCCCAGACAGAAAAGTCTCCAGAGACCATTTTATTCAGAGGGAGCATATGGGCTGCAGTGAAACAGAAAATATTCTTTCCCAGCCTTTCCCTGTCTATTCAAAAAAAAAAAAAAAAAGGATAAGGATTGGTTAGGGAGTACAGTATCATAGAAATAATTATTTTTTTTTTAGCAAACAAAACAGAATGGTAATAAAGATGTCATATGGCACCTTGCAGTAGAGTTTTATTTTCATCTTTTTAGTGCTCCACTCATCAGTTCCTTCCAGACTAGAGAGGTAAGTTTTATCAAGATCCCCATGCACTTTCACTATGAAACCCCAATCACTCCTTAGGATAAAGAAGGAACCATTCAAGATAACTCAAAAAGATGAAACATACCCCAGTTTAAACACAAAAATCGAGGAAAAAAAAATTCAAATAGTTTTCAGAGCGTCTGTTCCAGCCTAAGTGCAGCTGTCATTTCAGTTAACTTGACAAAAAAGAGTCCTTCATACAGTTCCAGTATGTCTAGTGGTACTGAGCATAGAAGTGCTAGACTGTCCATGAAGGTACTTCTTATTTGGTCTCTGGCTTGTCTTGCAATAGTGGTATAATTGACTCCCACGCCGTAAGGCACTGAAGAAAGAAATACAGATTTAACAAATGAGGTTTACATGAGTTATTTTAACTTCTAACTCTTCCACATCATCAGAATGCAAGTTGAAGAAAACCTATTGGGTCTTCACAGATTAGTACAGAAATAAAAAAAACCCCACCAAAATCTCAAACAGCAAAAAAAAGTGTTAGAGTGGTTGTACCTCCCAAACAAATTAAACAAATTCACATTTTCAAAAGTTGTCAGCTGGCCCAAGCCATTAGAAATCATCAGAATACCTGGGATTTCCAAACACCAATCTAGATTCTTCTACACTGAAGAACACCACAGCTTTCAGCTAGACAGACAAACTGTTGCTAGCAGAAATGTACATCTTTGTAGTGTCACTGTGAGGTAGGGCTGATTGGGACACAATGATAGCTATTACAGACTACCTCCAGCAAACTTATTTGAAAAAAACCCCATGCATTTAGAGAAGGTAGTTCTGAGACACAGTGTATTCCAGTACAGCTCTGGGACTTGACTCCACTGAATGACAAACTGGTAGTGCCTAGTATAGTAAACTAGAAGTGGAGTCTAGCTTCTGGGTTATTAGGAAGTCACTCCAGGCTTTGGAGTCATTTGCCCAGACGTGTACTTAACGTCAGTCCTTGTACTGTGTGTCATTACTATCTTTCAACCTCAAAGCTCAGAAATCAAACTGATCATGGAATACCTATTATTAAATGCTGGGAATGGGTAAACTCATCACCAGCTCTTACATCCACAAATTACTGTTGTGAGACATCTTCCTTCTAACCTTTCTGATTGTACTGCAGGTGAGTAATTATTTCTAGTTGTGTACCCTGAAGTGACTACATGCTTTCCTACCAAAAAAGCTTCCTCGCTAAGAGCAAAACTAACAGATTTAAATGTCAATTGCAGAGGCACTGCTGCATGTTCAGAGGAGTCTTTAATATCCCCCTCCACAGCACCTTAGAAGAGACCAGGATGAAGGAAGTTCTGTGGGACTAGTTATGAACTACTGACATGACAGACAATCAAAGGGGAAAAGGTACTGCATACTAATCCTACACAGAGAAGTAACCTAGCTTGTTACTAGGAAGAAGCTTGTAAAGTAGATGTGGAAAAAACGAATAGGCAAGATGAAGTATATTGGTATGCATGAACCTAGTAGCATTTAATATGTCCTAAATATTTAATGTACCTGAAGTGGGCTTACAAAAGAGCTGGAGAGGGACTTTTTACAAGGGCTTGTAGTGATAGGACAAGGGGCAATTGCCTTAAACTGAAAGAGGTCAGGTTTAGATTAGATAATTAGGATGAAATTCTTTACTATCAGGATGAGGAAACACAGGAACAGGTTGCCCACAGAAGCTGTGGATGCTCCATGTCTGCAAGTGTTTTACTTCAGGTTGGATGGGGCTCTGGGCCATGTGCTCTACAGGTGCCCCTGCCTATGGCAGAGGGTTGAAACTAGATGGTCCCTTCAAAACCATTTTAGGATTCTATGACATCAACCACTGCATTGGGCTGCACTGCTCCAGCACGCAGGAAAACTAGACTGGCAGTATCTGCAGTTAAATGGGGCCTTGAGGCCCTTTCAGTTAAAAATAAAAAAGTAAAAAAATCTGACACCAAACCTCAGGTACACATGCACCAACTGAAAAAGAGCAGAGGCACCTGGCTAGGTATTTTCAGGACTAGCATACAAGGGACTAAACTATGCACAAAGGAACAGAGACTAGAATAATTTATATATACCAAGCGTAATCTATATATGAGTCTATGGATGTGTATTAACTCATGTAGTTTTGTTCATAAAAGGCAGAATCAAGAGATTTTTCTACTCTGGTAGTATTACTAGAACATGCAATTTTGGTCTTTTTCATCACCACTGCTGCTGCTCAGTAATTTGTTCAATTCAAGAGTGCAAAACAGACAAGCATGCATGATGAAATGCTCTTTGAGAGCTGACCACTAGTCCTACAGAGATGACTTTACCATGAACAGCAATTCATTACACTAAGCTGATGACAAAGAGCAGCTTCCATAGCACTAGAGAACTGAGATGTCTAATATTTCTATTTTCAAGACAGTGTGAAGATATCCTGAAGAATCATCACCACCTCATAGGAAAATAAACTTCTCTTATTTTTGCCAATGCTCCAACAGTGACACATACCTTCTCGTAGTACTGGATGTTTTTATCTGCCATCCCCATGAGTAGCTGCCTAAAGTCTTGTCTTTTGTTGTTCTGCCATCTCTCCATATCTGCTTTCAGGTCAGCATTGAAACATTCTACTCGGTCTTGACATTTCTCAACATCTGTGGGTACCTGCAGCAAAAGAAAAGAAGATTAAAACTGTCACTGAGTGCTAGATTGCTGAATTAGTTCAAACCTTACTGAGCAAAACCACAGAAGAAAAGGTAGGTTCACCGGGAGTTACCCTGAATAAACTCAGTTATGGCTGTGGGGAGACAAGCCACATTTCTGAACTAGAGAGGATATGAGATTGCTTGATTTGTTCTTTGCTGTTTGAGGTGGTGAGCATTTGTGCTTTCCATCTCCATGTCTGATATAGAGGCAAGTGGAGGAAGCACCTGCTAGAAGCACACGAAGAGGAAAAGCATTTGGTGTAAGTGCTGGGTACCTAGACTCAGTTCCAAGTGCTTAAACTGAGCAGCTTGGCTACAGCTCCACAGAAAACCTTACTCCTTCCCATTTTCAGCTGCACTAGGTACTTCCCAATTTACACCAGTGTGTATAATATAATCAACATTTAGGCTTATCCAGAAAGCTGGATAAGAAACCTAAGTGTTCTCTCTTAGGAACTGAAGAATAAAATTCCTAAGCCTCTAGTTTCTAGCTTCCACTTTTAACCTTACAGGCTGCCTTTCCTAACTGGAAAGCACTAGTGATCATCACTCTGGACTGGCTCATATACCTTTGGGCTCAACACTGGGCTCACAATCATACAAAAACAATGAGAGAAATGTTGAAGGACAGCCTATTGCAAATCAGGTAGAGATTTAAATGGATTATGACAGCAATCACTGGCCCAAAGTGCATGTACTTTAGGCCAACTAAGATGGTGTTCTTTGCTCATGTTTTAACTAACATCATGTTAGGCAATCATAGGAACAATTTACAAGTGCTTCTTCAAGCAAGAAGCCCATGAACACCTTTTTCTCCCTTCTCCTTATGCTGCATGGTCCACACAGAGAGGAATCCTGTAAGGACATGCAGACTAAGCCCATGACCTCAGAAGAGGAAACCCCTGCATAGTGGTACCAACACGAGAAGTAAACTTTTGCTCTGAAAGCTGTGACTTGCACAAAGGCAAGAGGAAAAATGAAGAACATTTGCATAACTTTTTACCTTCAGTAAACTCCCTTTTTCTCTGAAGGGTGTTAAGAGAAGGAAGAAGATGAACAGACTATGTAAGAAGCTTTTCATAGGTAACTACCGGAAGCTAGAGGTGTGCTACTACCTTGCAGTTTGGCAAGGTGGCCCATCTAGGCAGAAACATAACAACCGTGCTTCTCCAGGATGTAAGGATCACTGAAGTATTACATTGACTCAGAGAAGATCTTACATCTGTTCTCTAATAAAGCTGTTTGAGACACAGGAGTTCTTCATACCCATGGGATTTGAGTTCCCCTTTATTCAAACAACTGGACACTACAGGCAGCTTGGGAGTTAGTAGACAGCGTTTTCCCCCACCCTGTCTGAGCACTGCTGGCTATAGAACTCACACTGCTACAATTCCAGACAAAGTTCTCTCATAAGCTTCAGACAAGAACTACAAAGCCTATGGCTGGAAAGTTCAGATGATGCTCCCCTCAAGGTACGTATGCCTTGCATCTTAAGTACTCTGCTTAATGGGAAAGGCTAGGCTATCAAGAGAAAGGTTCATGAAGTCTGGAAGTCAAACCAAGTAAGATTTCCCAATGCAATTAAGTTAGCTTCTAAGCACTCACCAGCTTGCTGCTGCTTCTTCCAGAATCTGAAACCACAATGAAGCTATACAAAAATCTGTTTTTCTCCCAGCAAGTTCTCCTGCAGGTCAGACTGAGAGGGCTGTACGAATTTAAAGCTACAGGGACAACCCAGTGGTCAGCAAATGGGTCACATATGTTCTCATTAAGGAACAACAGCAATTAACTCCATGTAAGTCTCCGCAGGCATCCTTGTGATCCTCCTCATCCACTCCACATGAAAGCAGTGTCTGCACAACAGCAGTCCTGTTTAGGAGTGCCTTTCCTTACAAAACTGCGGCTTCCCAGAACATTATTTGCAACACAGTAGTTGAAACAAAATTTTAAGTTAATTAACAGGTTTTAAACACCTTATAAAGTGTTTAAACACTAGTGCAAAGACATCAATGCTGATGGTTTTATCTGCTTTTACCAGCAGAGACACTAAATACTAGCTAGCAACTAAGAGCTGGGCAGAAAGCAGACTGGACTTTGGGAACTTGCTACTTTCTTACCAATGTCTCTTCTCAGCTACTGGAATAGCTCAAAAACTCCACAAACCACAAAACCAACGTGATAACTGGTTTCAACTCCAACACACTCTTCAATGGCCCATGACTGTTTTAGTGAATCCATTTCAACTTATGAGAGATGCAGGCAAGAACTGAGTATAAAAGTGTATATTCAGGAGTCTGGTCACCTTACTACATGATAAGAAGTTCTACAAATATATCTAATCCTCTTCACATTAATTCTGTTCTCTCAAAAAACTAAGTGTGCCTCACATCTATAATTTTGTGTGGTCATGTACAGATGGCATGTCCACTTTAAAATTCTAGAGGATCAAGTAACAAATCATTCTGAAGCTGAAAAAATCCAGCATATATTAATATAAAATAATAGCATATGCTATTTCTACTTTCCTCATTCTCTGGAAATAGATAATGTTACAAGGCTTTTTTCCCCTCTGTAAATACATATGGTCAACTTCAAGTTCTGCAGTGTCAAATTTACTGTTTCCATAGACTAACACACTTCAAACCCTTGAGGCAGACAGAAGAAATTAGGTCATCAGAGGTGAACTTCATCTCACCAAAAGGAAACCACACCTCTCCTTCACTCCTGTCAGAGACTGAAACAGTTAATGCCTTACAAATTCTAAGATCACCAAAAGACTTTTACAAATTGAAAAGAAGCAGCTGCTCACCCAGAAAAGCCCACTCCTCCCTAAATACTGCCAAAGGACCTTCAGATCAGACAACTGGGTGCCATTGTCCAACTATCCTGGGTGCAGATGCATACCTGAAGCTACAAACTGGATTTCCAGATAAAGGAAGAGGTTAAGAAGAGGCAAATCCTGCAAGATGGGACAATCCCTCCTATCATGCCAATGTCCCCCCTTCACATGATAACTCTGTGCATCTAGCCTGGGCTATGCATCTCAAATGTCAGACCATGATGGACCAGGACTGATGCTGACACAACAGGCAACTGCAACTGTCTTAGAAGATGCAGAGACTCATGACATGTCCTGTGACACTATCAATTGTAAAACTCCCCAGCCTAGGGAGGTACAAGGTGTTCTCACCTGTGGTGGAAGTGTATAACTCATAACATCTCTGAGTTTGGTGGGAGGGCTTACCCCAGCCCCAATAGACCAAGACTCTCCCCTTCTGCAGCAGGTCACAACAACTGCATTTGTGGATTACTGCAAAATCAGCTCCAGCATGGGTCAGAAGTGGGTAAGCAGCACTTCACCACTGCACTTGCTAGAAACTGAAAGGCTGCAGACTCTGCACTAATACTGTGATGCTTCTGTTAAGCACCACAATCATTATGCTTTTGGTGTAAGCTCCAGCATTCTGAGCAGTACTTCCCAACAGACATTTACAGCAGCCCTACAAGCCTTCTGCGAGCTCTAAACAGATGATCTCAATGTGAGAATGACCTAATGACACGAGAAGAGCTTTGTGATGCCAGCCTGGGTATGTGCCCAGTGAGGCCTGGAATGCCCTCTAGTGGAAGAGATTATCAAACCCAGCGAGGCCTGGAATGCCCTCTAGTGGAAGAGATTACCAAGTAGCCCTCCTCTCATGATCCAAACCTAAGCTTTTTTTCCCCGTAAGATTTCGTCTGGGGTTATTTTACATAATTTCTACCAAATTGGCAAATACAAGGAACACAAATGTCATTCCACAATTGCAGCTCAAGACCCTCTGCCAGTTTTTAGTTTCCAGCAAGTCACAGCCAGGAGACCACATGGAATGTAAGAATGGTGCTAGGCACAGCGCTGAGCTACCAGCTCCTACAGACAAGGGCACTTCCTCCAGGCACAAAGGATCTGAAAACCATGAGATAATATTTTATGAACATGCAAGGAGTTCTATATAATTTGTTCAACTTCATCTTATAAATGACACAAAACTACTGACGTTACAAAAAAGGTAGAAGGAGTTGCCAAAAAATACACTTATACTCTGGAGAGGAGATGCAGCTCTTCAAAAATTCTCAAGACAGCTATTTAAGTGCTGCATTTTACACAATAATCCCACTGAGATATGAGATCCAAAGAAAGGCCTTTTAATAGGTGAGAGATTACCAAAGTTCAGCAATTCCACTGCAACAAGATCCTGATAAAGTCAAACACCTAAAAACCTCAACTGGCTTGCTGGATATGCTAGATTTAGTTCCCTCCATCCTAGAAACAACTTGTTAGAATACCTGCTTATACAAAGCTACACTGAGGAAGTAGAGCACATACCACAGCAGCCAGCAGTGGGGCAGGTAAAAGACCAAAATACAAGAACACTGTAAAACACCTAATACACCACTATTTGAAGTTCATGAGAGATGCAAGATCAGAAAAATACTAGTTTGCATTTCTATGCTCTCATCCTCTTTAGCTTCTTAGATTTAAAAATATTATGTGAACCCCCTGTAAGATTACTGTACAGTAGTCCTAATACTGGGAAGTTCTCCATTAGTTATTAATACAAATGTAAGGGGAACCAAAAACCTCCAAGCAGAGGAAGGGAACAAACCCTGTTGTCATCACCATTTAAACCTGCAGCCATTTAAGAAAAGTCTCTTGCACCCTGCTTCGTGCAGAAGCAGGTGTCAGCACAAGCATGTCAGTTCACAGCTTTGCTTCTGCATGGAGCCCAGCCAAAACCTGTCACCTAGTGACACTTGTTGTGTCTGTTCAGCATCACAGAAGTAGAGCTCCCTAGCAGAAGTGGCAAAATTTGCAGTCTTCCACAATCAAAACCAGTGTCCTAGAATAATACAGTTCCACAGTGCCAGGGATAGGACCTTAACTCAGCTAGCTGACATACTGCTAAGTCACCAGGGACTGTTCTACCACTGCTTCAGTCCCTGCTACTAAACACTCCAACCAATTACTGGCTGTTAAGGTGTTACAGAGTCACCCTGCTCTGAGAATTGTGGAAGATCAGAAGTTGCTAGACAAGTTATATACATTCATACCTAGGTCTTTATTTCACATCAGTTTGACAACAACAAACTTCTGTTCTGCTAGAAACTGCTCTCTATTGCAAAGAAGCCACCAGACCCAGAAAAAGCAAGTTCTGCTTCTCCATTCTTTTCAGGAGGTAGTGTGAGCGTAAGCTGGTTTTGTAGAGTAAGTTGGAGTGCTAACCTTTGGACGGTCTTCCTTTTTCAAGGCTACTGCTTCCAGTTTTGCTTCATACTCTGCTTGAACTTGGTCTCTCTTCTTCAACACATTCTGTGGGCAAGAGAAAAGACAGTTGTGAAAGAGATCCTCTCGATCCTTCCCCCAGCCTGCAAGAAACTCCAAAGTGATACAGGTTAAGTGCAAATTCAGTCCAAAGTCAGACTTTCAGATTTACTTTGCCCTATCTTACAGTATTTAGGGAGTAGTTTTTAATAACAAAGAGTACTTGCTCTCCAGAAGCTGGCAGGGTCAGATAAAATTCAACATTTGGACAAGCCATAGGCATGCAAGATAGAAGCTGCCATGAAACCACTAACATAATCCTGACTAAGTATTCATCAGTTCACCTATTATTACTTGAACAGGATATAAACAAAAGCATCAAAGTTGACAAGGACTCAGCTTTGATATCCTCAAGCAGCAGACAAGACAACAGCACTGGCAAGATACAGGAAAACCACCACAGAAGGTATTACATCTCCCTTTTCATTTACAAAGACTCTTCAGAATTCTTTATAGCAAGCTGTTACATTCTCATGTTAGAACAAAAGTAAGCTTTTATTTTAGATCAGTTTAGGGGGTTTGGTTGCTGATTTAATTTAAAAAAAAATGAAAATTACAAAAAGCACAATTTACATGAAAAGCAATAAACTGATCAAGAGAGTTTCACAAGCAGTAAACATGTTCTTGGTAGAGTACTCTGAGAATACAGAGCCAAAGACCTTGTACTACATCCACAAGAGCTCCACTAAGCCTGAACTTACTACTTCAGTCTTCACAAAGAACTAGTATTTTTTAATTACTCAATTGATGCAAAGTTATTATTAAAAATGCTCAGAGGGAAGTCAGCCAACACTCACTGCTGAGGCACCTGTAAATCTGCAATTCTCTTGCAGCTAGCTAACTTGGCCAATTCACATTTGAGTCTCCCCTGTTTTCACCCAGAAGGAATTACTCCATTAGGACGAAGTGATAACGAAGTCATTTTAACAGTTTCTGATATGGCTAGTAAAGTAGGACTAGCCATGTCCACTGCTGCCTCCAGAAATCTGTTTTCAAAAGAGTAGTCAGATCTCTAAGAGCCAATCTAGCCAAGATCTGTTTCCTAATTAAATACAAATCCTGTATCTACTAATCATCATCTTCCCCCTCTTCCCTCTTAAGCCAAGAAAAGGTCAACAGTGTAGTTGCTCTAGATGAGAGCCAGGAGTGTTGCAATCAACACTCCTATAAAAGCTCAATCAATGACAAATGGGAATAGCGCCCCATCCACAAAGTTACTACTAGTTTAGGCAACAAAAAGAGGGAAAACCTGAAAAATTCACCTTCAGCTCCTTAATCTTCCCTTTTGTCTCCACAGGGATGAATCAAGCATGCCACTGAATGTGTTTGCTTGACAAACCACAACATTTCCCTTCTTTCTGAAATGTATGCAACTATGTGGGATGGCCTTTAAGTGATTGAGGTTACCAGTGCAACAAAGGTCTGAGAGATTTAACAGGTATTTCTACTTTGTACTGCCACTTGAACCCGAGTCAGCTGAACTTTCTTCTCTGAAAAAACAGCCACCTCCAGCAATTGCATTCTGCCTTCAGAAGCCTGGAGTGCACGCAGGAAGCTGAACCTGTAGCAGGAATAGCCAATGATTAGCAACTAGAGGCAAATGATTCAAAGGACAGGTGTCTTGTTTCTTCTTAAGTGTTTATGTCCATCCACTGTGGACCATTAACAATATGCTTCTGAATACAGTTTTAAGTATCCAATACTGGTCGACCTGTGAGCGAAGAGAAAACTATTGCCCTCCCTTTCACTTGTACAAAGTTTTCCTCTGGCACCTCCAGGCAATCTCCTTTCAGTTGCAGATCAATGCACTAATGCTTTAGCAGCAGCTATGAAAAACTCTGCATCAAGTATCCCGAAACTTAACTGGTAGAAGTTTTGCATGGACTGTGCTAAGGTCTCAGAGACAAAAAAGTAAAAAAATAAATAAAAACCAAACAACAAACAAGCAAAAAAAATACAAACTCAAAAGAAATCAACACCAAACAGAAAAAAACTCATCTAGCACACTTCAGTTATTTCAGGACAGAACTAAATCGCTGCTCCCTGAACAAGAAAGACTTAGCTCAGTTTCAGCAAGGCAGGTCCTCCTCCATTTTGTATTTAGTTGAAACATTCCACCTTGGCCCATATTTCTAAAGAGCTTCAGGAGTTTGCCATCAGTCTTCTTTCTCAAATTTCAATTCCAAGCCTATTTGCACACCACATAGCTTCATACTGTGACTAGACCTCACAAGAGGATCTCTGTTCGCTGCCTGCCTTTACAGACACAGTTACCTATTAATCTAGTGCTTGCTTTAAACATGCATTAAAAGTAATGCCCAAACACACCACTGGGGATAGCATCACCTGATAAGCCAGTCTAGCAATGCTAAGCATACAGAGTTCATATAGGATTTTAATATCAGCCCTGGATTATGTAGAGCGGAGTCCATCCTCTGCACATTCCTCCCTGGGGAACACCAATGGACAGCAAAAAATGTGGCACCACATGTTTGCTGAAAAGGGCCTCACTGCACCAGAATTCGAGATGTCCTCTTGCCATGTCATAAAATCATAGAATACCAGGTTGGAAGGAACCTCAATAATCATCTGGTCCAACCTTTCTTGGCAAAAGCACAGTCTAGACAAGACAGCTCAGTTTGATCTTGTCCAGCTGGATCTTAGAAGTGTCCAGTGTTAGGGAATCCACCACTTCCCTGGGGAGATTATTCCAAAGGCTGTTTGTTCTCATTGTGAAAATTCTCCTAGCGTGTGCAATCAGAATGTCCCTGGGAGTAACCAGGGACATTCCCCTTGTGAAAAGGGAGCTTCCATCATCTTCGTAGTCACTCCTTAAATACTGGAACATGGTGATAAGATCTTCCCTAAGCCTTCTTTTTTCAAGGTTGAACAAACCCAGCTCTCTCAGCCTTTCCTCACATGGCAGGCTTCCCAGTCCCTTGATCATCTTTGTAGCCTTTCTCTGGACCCTCTTCAACTAATTCACTTTTTTTTTTGTACAGCAGGGACAGAAACTGAACACAGTATTGCAGGTGTGGCCTGAGAAGCACTGAGTAGAGTGAATAATTTGGAAAAGGTCTCTCCTAGACACTACCAGCACACAGTTTATCTCAAGCCTATACCACCAGCCTCTCCCCACTTTCACAAATATTTCAAACAAACCCAGAGACAGGGCTTCCCTCAAATCAGCCAATATTCGATTCAACCAGAACTACTGGGCTTTGCCCCCATATGTCCAGTTCTCTCAGGCTGTCCCCCTCAGGTACAACAATGCTCCTGAAGACACTGAGGTCTCTTCACCTCTAACCTAGCAGTTCTTACTCTGAGGGACATTCAGCCAGCTAGAGACTGCTCTACAGATCAGGTTCTCATACCTACACCAGGGGTACAGTGTGCAACAGAGAAAGCTATCAAGGTTGCACTGAACTCCTAGTACCTAAAGACTTGCTGTCACCAAGTACCCTGTCCAAAAGATGTGGTTTGAAAGACCAAAACAGACTTTCATTTCACAAGTAGCCCTCACAGGAGCTGATGAAGACGACTGCACTAGTAGTGAAGAGGACAGTCCTTCCAGCAGAATGCCTCCTGCGTTCCAAGCATAACCTTCTTTTACAGTTACTTACTTAATGTTAACAGATTCTGCAAAGACAGTTCAGTAGCTGCTCACTGCAGAAACAGCAACAGACTGGTACTTTCTAGCAGAATAAAACTGAACTTCGTAGGATCTGAGAGAGTTCAGTTTTGCCATTTGAGAAGGAAGGAAAATAGGAACAGTCTGTCTTGGCTAACAGTAGATTTTATTCTTGATTTTCAAATTTTCAGACAGAGTAAAGCCAGTAGGATGCCCAAGCTGGACACTAAACAGCATAATCTTTTACGGCCCTAGAAAGTCAAGTCAACAGTCTAAAATGTTTAAGCTAAAAAGCAAGGGTTTCTTCAGCTGAAGAGGTACTTTAGGTAGTTAAACAGCACTTACTACAGTCAGGCTACCTGCTGGCCTTTTAGAGCCCTTTTAGAATGGCACGGTCTCCAAGCCAACATGTAACTAGACACAAATTTTTAATGCTATTTTGCCTGTGGTAAGTGGTGCTTAACTGCCCAAAGTACCTCTTCAGCTAAAGAAACCATTGCTTTCTAGCTTAAAAAAATTTCCCCTCCTACATTTGTGAAAAGCACCTCTCACATATCAGCCTGACCCTTCAGATGCCATCTTTGGTAGGCCAAGGCATTTCTAGCATCAAAAGCCAGATGTTCTGAGTTAAAAGCTTTAATTACTAGACTCACACTGTTTATTTGTAAGCACATCCCACCCACCTCCACTTCCTACAGTCCCAACATCCTGAGACAAGGCTTCCTACAGCTCACACTGTTCCAGCAACACTTTGTTGTCAATAGACTCGTAAAGAAAATACATCTTGGTTATGCTGGAGTCAATACTGTAGTGACAAAAGTAAAGAGTATACTAAGGGAATTTGTGAAAAGCCTTCTGCAAGAACACTTCAGCTACTCAAGAGACATACAATTAAACACCTGAAGCTGGGAAAACAAAGCTGCAAATTATCTGTTTCAATTCTCAGTTTGAGAAGTATAGGATGAGACTAAGATTAAGAAAGAGAAGGTCTATCATATTCAGACTGTAAGTTTACAAGATCTGTAAAGGAGTGCATATCACAGCCTTGGCACAGTTGTTCCAAGTGGAAAGTCTTCAAAAGGAACTTGTCTGTTAGTACCCTATAGAGGGACAGCTAACACACATTGTACCATGGGCATATAGTGAAAGGTTCTAACAGACAAACTAAAGCCTTTGGTTTCATTTCTCAGTGCAGTTTACTCAGTAGTTCTTTCCCCCATTCAATGTGATTGATTACCAATGCTCCTTAACTTGAAGGGAATAAAACCCACATTAAAGTAATTTTATTACTTCTGCATAAGCATCAAATTCTTAAGAGAGATTAAGAGTCACAGAATACCACCTTTAAGCAGTTAGTTGGTATGCAGAACTTAACTTGACAACATCCTGTCTGGGTTTGGGGACAACAGAGGAAGCAGTGCCTGTCATTTGAACACGTGGTTCTGAAAGGAGGCACCCAACTCTGCTACATACAAGTGACAGAAGCTGCTAATGCTGTCTATTCTGTAGGGCCAGGCACTGACCTTGCAGTGAAGAGCTGAAGATGATTGACTTTCTGTGACTTCAAGGAAAGATTCTAGGCAGCCACAGGATGCCTCCTATAAAGTACTACCTGCCACTCTGACGAAGGAACAGCTCTCCAACACTTTGTGTGCACCCTTGCAATACTGACCTTAGCTTGACTGAATAGCAGAGCAGACCAATAATGCTATTTATGCTATTAAACAGACCTAGTTTTGTTTTGACTATGGAAACGTCCTCCTAGTTAATGTATTATTTACTTCCACGCTTTTCCCACAGCATTTCTCGCTGTTAAAAAGAACAAACACGCTGATATATCATGCCAGGCAAACACAATGACAACGCTCTCTACCACAGGGCTCTCTCTACCTTCATTGACTCAGCATACAATATATATTCCCTAAGCACAGGTAGGAAGTCTTCTGTCATGTCTTCACTGAGTTCTTCAAGAGCCGTGCAACAATTTCCAATACAGGCAGACACCCCTTCCAGTGGCTCCGACAGCTCAACCTCCAGCCCTCCCCAGGTTGAATAAACAGGTCCATATTCTCGTAGTTCCACCAAGTATTCTGCAAGAAGCAGATGGAAAAATAGATTAACAGAGTAAGAGCAAGGCACAAAGATGCACAAACACTGATACAAAACAGGAGAAATTTTACACCAAGTTTGACTAACATTAACCCTCAGAAGGAGTCAAGACTTGTGTTGTGTTGGCACCTTAACAGACAGAGCTCTATGGCTGCATGGGTGTCAGGTTCAAGTTGCCTCCTTCTTAGCTGGCCATTTCTACAGACCTCCAATACAGACTCTTGCACCTTTGCAGTAGTCGAAGTCAGTTTTTTAAACATATGTAAAACTTGGTTCTGCCAAGACAAGCTGTAAAGGTTATCTTCGTCTAGGAATTCCATCTGTACTCCTCCAGATGGAATGTACAGGTTTTTCCACCTTCCAAAAGTCTATCAAAAAATAACTCTAGTAAGACAGTAGGTTGGTATAAAAAGAGCAACTTTGGAGAGTTGGGATAAGATAAGAATACTGTGTTAAGCTTTGGGCTTGTTTTAGATCTGGAAGGGGCATTAGGTTTTGCTCTGTGTCTGACATTACAGACCAGAATCATCAATGCAAATTGTCTTGATCGATGCTATCAACTGGACTAAGAGACAGAACATTCAGACTGAAGTATTATGATAGAGCACCTTGTGTCCTTACCTAACTGTTCTTTGATGATCCGCTGTGCTATTCTGTCAATGGTACCAAGCTTTAGAGAGAATGTGTCTAGATAATCCCCAATGGCTGCAAACTCTAGTGGCCGACTTCTTAATTTGTAGCCTCCTGTAACATATTTGACAGATTCCCCCATCTTTGACAGCAATGCCATTCCTTGCTTTTTGTAGGCATTAAGATCCTAGGAATTAAAAAACAAAACAGAGCATGTTTATAAATATTTCACTTCCACATTGGAAGATTAATGCAATGAAGTCAAGATCAAATCTTGTGAAGGCAAGAGATTACATATGACATAAGGCTCGCTTTGTACAAGCTGTACAGCTGAGCACAGCTTCAAAACTACCCCTAGATGGAGATAAACTATCCAGGAGAATGGTATGAAGTCCAGTACAAATAACTAAGTAGTTCAACTTTGCACATGGCCAGACTTGCCCATGTTCCTGTACTGCCACCAGGGAAGTAGCCACATTAACAGCTCTGGTCCACCAAAACAGCTCATATCATTCATCCACACATACTTCTAAGCTATAGCCCACAGCACTGGTATTATGCAAATGCACCAGCTGGCTCTGATGACCCAGTACAGAGCTACATACCGTATGCCCATTCAGTAACCAGCCCCCTCACACCAGCTGTGTGGTCAGATAGGAGCAGGCAAACACTGTACACAGAAAAAGTACAGCAAGACAGACTGCAGCTCAGGCTGGGTCAGATGTAGCTACATTACCTGCACAGAAAGTCTGAGCTTCCTTACTACCGTTTCACACATTTGCACAAACAAACATTCAGATAACCTATGCTAACAAGGCTGTTTGCCTACAATCTTCAAGGGATTTCACCTTAACAGTACATCAGAAAAAAATGGTTTTAGTGAGTAAAAACGCTGTCCACTTTGCATGGACTGACTCCTTCCAGCAGGGGTCAGCATTCAACATCTCAAAACAGGAGCTGTAACTAGGTTATCCTATAAGCCTGCGGAAGAGATGCGTTCAAACCAAGTAGACCTACAGAGGTCAAGAATTCAGACATGCTAATATGGACTACACTAAAAGCCTTCTTTTAAAAAAAAGAGAAAAAACCCACCAAAAACAAACAAACAAACAAAACACAAAACAAAAAAACCCACACCAAAACCCAAACAAAACCAGTAGCTATCTTCAAAACATGTACTATGGTATTCTTTCCAAGTACTTAACATAAGTCAAACATAGGTCTGATTAGGAGAACCTGACATCTTAGCAGCTACTATAATTTTAACTTATGTTTGCATTTAAATGCAGTAGTTCCTTGACTCCTGCTTTCCATATGACCTAAGCACTACCTGCAAGCAGGCACCAGAAAAAGATCCTTGAACTCAAAATTACTCACTCACTCTCTCAAGCATTCTGGTCTGTTACTGGTTCAAGCAGGGAACCTGAAAAAAGCCTGGTTTCTCTTTTTCAACCAGGAGGTGATCTTATGACTTTCTGTAGTAACTAAAGTCTGGAGTCCTAGCACACTGAACTGACACCTCACTGTTCCAACAGAGCAAGTTCAAACACTAGAGACTGTCACAAGAACACGTGCCTTGTCCTCCCACCTCCCAGCATGCTCTGTTGTCTCTAGGCAAGCTCTGCTCAGAGCTGAGAACAAAGCCCTTGACATTCGTTTTACAGGGGCAGGAGAAGACTAAGCAGCTCAGAAAGCTGCATCATGCTTGGACAGCTGAAAAGAAGAACACAGTTACCTGACATTTAACTATCACGATGCTAAACAAATTCTGCATTTCTGGCTTATTTCAGCAGTTAAGTTCATCATGGAGGTGAAATAAAAGAGCACTGGAGATTGATTCTCACACTAACAGCAGGGAGAGCATGAGCCTGAGGTGAGCTCAAATTAAACACCATATTTGAGTGAGCTAGATTAATGTGATATTGGAAAGATGTGCTTTTATACCCCTCCTCACCTATCCGGTCAAACCCAAGCATAACCGCAGGCCTTCAGTCTCATTTGAAATGCAGTTCTAAAGAAAGCCAAAGAAAATTGCACCACTGCTGCATGAGTCATGCAGAAGATGAGCATGAAATTGTTGACTGAGAACAAATGAGAATGAGGCCTCCATGCTTAGTTTTGAGGGCACCAAGTGCAAGCAGTATAAAAAGCACAGACAAAAAAAAAAAGCCAAGAAATTTGCAAGCTTTTGTGCAAGAGAGACCCCTCTTTCTCCCCGGCTTCCCTCCTCCCCAGAAAAGGATTTTGAAGTCTACAATTTTCTAAATTTTGAACATCTTTGGCATAATAGGAGTATGTTCTAGGCACACAGCTACAAAACAAGCAAGTCTGGAGAATTTGTCCATCTGCAGACCAGATTCCTCTTCCCTCCAAGCAAAGGGAATCCACTCAGTTGTCAGGGATCCGTCACACACAATATTCAGGGTTCCCAGCAACTCCCTGGTATTTTAGGGGAAGTTCTGATCTGCACATCTAGTTTTATTAATGCCTTTTTACCTTCACTTCAGAAGTGACTGCAAAGGTTCCTGGTTTTTTGTCCCTGTCAAGGACTGTGTTTGCAAGTTACTGGCTTACCTTGGCTGTGAGAAAGACGTTGAAGTGCTCATTGAAAGAAAGCACTGGGTGATCAGTTATTCTCTTCAAGAACTTGTCTAATGCTTTCCTCCTTGTCTCCACGAACTCTTCAGAAAAGCGATCAACAACACCCTTCACCACAAATTTCTCAGGAAGAGGCTGTCAGAGATAAGCAAAATGCACAAGATTCAAAAGATCAAAAACTTGCTTCTGCTATTTGGAAATAAAGCAATCAAGCATCAGTCTTAACAGGAACTGAAATGCTGTGTTTGCTAACAGGAACTAAAACGTTGCATTTGCTAACAGGAAGCATCCATCAGATGGGATGAGAGTCATGCTCGGAATTATCTTTTAGTTGGTCTAGTTTAATGCTAGCAATTCTACTGAGTGGCTTCAGCTAAGAGTCACACCAGGGAAGCCCATACAGTACTCACACAAAGTACTTGTAGCATAGCTTAGATTGTTCCCCCTACTGCTATCTGTGTTCAAGATCCAGCTCTAAAGAGATGTCAGAAGAGCTACACACTATTCACAACAGCAGCGTGCACACCCCCCACCACCCAATGCTAAGGCAAGGCTGCCTAGAGCAGATAAACTCAGAAAATTTGACAGTTCTATTTACTCTCCCCTCTCCTTCTCTGAACAATTTAGAGCTTTTGAATAGGGCCCTCCTGTAAAAGGCTGATAATGTTAGTGAGAGCACCACATTGAGCAGAGACAGACCAGCAGGCTTGACACAGCAAGTGTCTGAGTAGTCCAGGCTGGATCCTTTCTGAAGTACAGGCATACCTGGTCACCTCTCAGAGACAACTTTCCTGAGTATGCTTCTGTAAGTGACAAAGGTCTGACAACATATCCACTCTTGTATCTTACTACTTTGAGTCCATCCGTTCTTTTCTGCAGTTCAGCTTAACATATGAGGCTGTCTCCAGACTTGCTAGTTATACAGTCCCTCCTGTTACACTTAAATGACAGACTTCAAAGTACCACTTCAGATGGAAGATAACTTTAAGTGTAAGAGTGGTTCTACCATTAGATCTGCTTTTGTTCTATCCAGACAGCATGGAATTTAAGATTAGCATCAGTTTTTAAACTGTGCTTTGCCTTTCACTCTCTGTGAAGCAGTCCATCCAGACAATCTGCTTACTCTTAGGCTAGCAATGACATTCATTTTCACCCAATTCAGGAAATAGGATTCTCCTCTGCAAAGAGTCTGTCATCTAAAATCTGTGACAAAAATAATTCAAGAAAAAAGAAAATCTGCATACACATCCTTTCGCACCATATCCCAGATGATGCGGGACGTATATGAAGATGGTACCTGCTGAAAAGCACAGCCAGCATGATTTAGCTGCAACACAGCTGAATGTATTTTAATTAAGACTTATCTTATTATGCTTAGCATTCAGATCAATCATGCTAATTAAACCATTGTAAGGCATACTATCATTAGACTTCAGAAGTATAGTGCTTAGTGCATTAGTTTTCAGGTAGGAAGGAACTCTGTTCCTTTGCTTTGTAAATTTTAGCTGGGACTATAGGAAGTCACTACCTCAGCACCATATGCAGGAAGAAAAGGACAAACTGAAAGACTAGTTTAAAGAATCCTAGTTCAACCAAACACATTCAGTGTGGCACTGAATAACCACTAATGTTTGAGCATTTGAGACCCACAGAAGAGTGCACCTCTATTACAAAGCCTTCTACCATTTAACCTGGTTTCAGCTACAGCAGCAGTTACAGTCCTTTCGATTTTAGGCCTTTGGAGGTCCATCCCAAGTAGTCAGTACACACAGCTAGTAACCAACATCCTGTTTTAACTGTGTGTGTAAATTATCTACCTTATTGTCTTCCACATTAATAGTCTATTTTTCCCTACTGAGATACACATGGACAGAGTTCACTGCAGTCAGAAATGTCTTCAAGTATCCAATAGGGCAGCACATGCTTATACCTCCAGATTTTCTAGAAGAAAGGTACTTAAGACACCTCCTTACTCTGCAGCCAGTTCACATCCAGTATTAGAGCTACTCATGCCGAATTTGCTGTTCTGCATGCAACGAATTCCAGGTCACGGCAAAGCAGCTTGATTCCCTGACTGACTCACCTTCTGCTACTTGCAGCCTTCAGGCAGGACTGGCAGTTTGTTAGCATACTCAAGAATCTGTAAAACTTAACTGCAATAGTTCCAGCTGTTCAGAGAACAGGAAGCAAGAAAAGACGGTATGGGCAGCTAACATATTGCATGTCTCCATCTTAGTCTCCCAAGCTCACTCTCTTTCTTTTCCCTACTCCTCAGTAAGCATATTTGCCGACAGTTAGTGGTGTCACAGGATATTATAAAGTACTCCTTATCTTTGAGAGAATCAGCTATTATTTCACTTGGAGGCGAGTCCCAGAGTAATTAAGGACTTAAATAGTACTCTAAGCCAGAGCAACCTAACTGAATACTTCTCACACAGCCTAGTCCTTGCTGAGGGAGGGAGACCAGAGAAAATGCCACCACACCACTCACCTCAATCCTACATGGGCAAGCAAAAGTATGCCACTAGCATTGCTATTTCCTGACAATTCCCCTCCAATGAGCCTTTTTTAATTTCTTTGTTCAAAAGAGCTGAAAGCAGTGATCTCACAGGTTTGCTACCTATTCACTTCTTCTACAGCACAAAAAACATATCACATAAGGTAGTATCAACCTCTTCACGTCAAATAAAGTGGTCAGATTGCCGGTTTCAGCAAAAAGGGGTGCAGTAGTTTAGCTAATCTCATTAATAAACTTCTACCTACTGAAAGCATGCAATAGCTACCAAGCCAGAGGCTGAGGTTTCTAAATCTGTGCTATCAAATGTCAGCCCTATTAAGTGCTAGCACAAATAGTTTTAAATTGCTCTGTAAAACCAGCTCAAAAGGCCATCTTGAAAACCAACTAAGAATGTGAAGTACACCTGTGTGGCTTTTCATAATCCTCAGCTGCTCTGAAATATAGAAGTAAAAACTGAGCAAACAGATGAAGTGCATTCCATTTATGTCACAACAAATTTAGTCACCACACATATTGCCCTACAGGAGGCTGCCAAAGCTAACCTCTCAGGTGTGCCACCCCAGAAAAGTCTTAAGCTTCATAATCAGTCAAGAATGGGAAGCTCTTCCCACTCCACTGTAAGACAATAAAGTACCATATTTAAATCTAAATACTCAAAGAGAATGAAGTACTGTTTTTAAAATCTAGAGACAAATCACCCAAATATCACCCTTGGAAGACAAATGTAGAACTGTCCTTAATAGCAGATTCTTGGTTACTACCTACGGGAATGAGATGCGTTGGCTGAGACTCTTCCAGCTTGTTTCTCAACCAGTCGAAGTCTTGGTACCGCCGACGGACAGAATACTCCGGCAAATCAAACTCTGCTCGTGTAGTCTGGAAAAGAACAGAATACACTTAGTGTACACCAAACCTCTCACCTCAGAGATTAGCAGCAAATGCAGTACAGCCATCCCCAGCAAGGGTGGAGCCAGACAAGCCTTGCAGGGGGTCTTCATCCCCAAAATTGTGCAGCCAGCATAAGAAAAAGATCCTCCGGACTTTCAAGCAGTGGAAATGCCAGCAATACGAAAAATGATTACTTCAAGCTGACATGTTAAGATCTTGTTGTACTTCTTTCATGTTCTGCTCAGATAAACTTTACGGGAGAAGTCTGTAGAGCAGATAGAACCACATCACTCTCTTGGCAGTTACAAGATTGCAAGGAAGACTGTGTGAGATATTCATTCCCAGAAGATTACTTTAACTATCAAGACCTAAAAGCAAAGATATTTATTGACTTTGTTTATTCTACGACATGAATTATCCACAGATGAGAAAGCATTTCACCACTGCCCTGTGTCAAGCAATGGGCTTATCACACTCCTTCAAATCTAAAAGATTAGAACATAAACCACTGCGAGGTTTGATGAAGGACGATTTTTGTTGGTTTCCAAGAGGAAGAAACCAGTCTGTTTACATTAAGTTTGTGTATGCCTGATTAGTACATTAGTAAATATAATAGTACATTAAAATAAATCTTTTGAAGTTTTATTCTTTAGGGCAAGAAGTCAAAGTTGCCATTATAAGTTTGAGGAAAAAAGTAAGCATACAGAGAAACTGCTGGCAAGTGTTTTATCCAGTCCTCGAGCAGTCCACAGTCTGGAAGGCTGACTTCGTGGGGCTGCTTGCCCAGCAAATACTGTAAGCATAAAAGCACTCTCGTGAAACTGCATACCAACTAGGAGCATCTGCTAAAGAGCCTGGCAGCAGTAGCCCTGATTAGAATGTAGATGGCCCTTATTGTTACGACCCATACAGAAGTATACTTAAGTTACTTGCAGCATCAAGACCATCTTGCAATGAATAGTCTGTACACTATAGGTCTACACTGAGACACCAAAACCAGCACATTCTGGGGAACACACCAGCAACTGCAGCTTTGAACAAGCTTTGAGACCAGCATTTGGTTTTGCTACTCCTATCCACTACAATTGCCTGATAAATTCCAGCAGACACTCGGCATTTACTTCCAGACTGAGAGCAACTGCCACATATTTGCAGAAAGTCAAATAGCAGATTTTAAATGCAATCCATCTCTTCACTTGCTTTCTCAGTAGCTCCAACTCTCCAGTTACTGTACTTTACTCCCACCAATCACCACTAGAGATCCTGTATGAGTTCTAGACCAGAAATCTCTTTCTAGGGGGAAGTTGGCAGCCTTAACACACTAGTAACAGCATGGCAGCTCTAGTACATTATAAACAGCATGCTAATGTGTTATTACCTATGTTATTACCTTCTAGAAGAGGAAGGCATAAGAGACAGAAAAGAAGAAATCAGGATAAGCTCCTCCCTCCTTTGACCTACTAGCTATGGTTAAGTGATATACAGGTTAGTCCTTGGACTAACATAACAAACGCTCACCAATGGTGCAGTTGTGGTTGTGATGAGGGGCTACCAAGATGTAGATATCCACTGCAGATTTGTGCTTTACTCAGCCACCCCTCAGAGTAACACCAGCTTATTTACTAATGTGTTAGAGTGCCACACTAGAAATTAAACTTCTAAGACTTCATATGAATCATTTTCACTTGTTCTGAGTAACAGAGTGAATGGCATTAGGGTGAAACAAGATAATTCATGCACATACAGACAGCCCTCATCAGCCAGTGGTGTTCACTGCATTATTCTCTTAATTGGGCAGCTGTACCTTTGCCTTGCACCCTGAAATGAAAAAAAAATGGGGGGGAGGGGAGAGTAATTATTTAGAAGAAGGGATAGCTTTTGTGAACTGGCAGTCACTGCCCAAAAGCCTCTTAAAAGAGACCTGACAGTGAATGGACAAGAATGAGAATGACTACACACTGCAGTACCTTATCATGTAGCATGAGGATGAAGGTAAAGACTCCCATCTGTTAGCACTGAGAACCTTATTAACCAGTATTCTGCTAACAGTTAAGGAAATCTGTAGAGGTACTCTCTAGGAGTAGGAAAGCAGGGTAAGTTCCAGTGCACAAACTTCACATTAGTTACTGTGTACCTCTAGCAAACTGGTCCTACTGCCTCTACTTCACAAGCAGAATTGCAAAGTTTTCCATATATCCAGTTCTGTTCCTCAGAGGGGGGCAGATGAAAATACAGCAACACCATCATTTCAAGTTTTTACTGTACAGACTGTCAAATCTAGACAGTAAATAAGCTTTTCAAAGATTATTTGGACAGAACATAAAGGCCCTTCAAGGTTTTAATGACACCTCACTAACGCTGAAAGTATCTGGATCTCAGATCAAACCTTTATTAGCTTAGCACAAGTAATTTTTTCCAGACTGCACACAAAAGGGAGGAGGGTCTTGCCACCATCCAGGGACAATGCTGAAGAACACATTCAGTGCAAATAGCTCCAGGTGCAGCTACAGCCACAGCTGCAGGTTGAGCTCTGAGTGGTAGGAGCACCAGGCAACAGGCTGTGAACTGGCACCAAACTTTACACAACAAAGGGCCTGGGGACCTGTGGCCCAGCCAGGGGACCAGACACAGAGACACAGCAGGGGCCACTGACCCCGAGGATTTCACACGTGTAGACTGTGAAGGTATAAAAGACCAGAGTTCCTTAGTTCTGGGTCCGTCCTCAGAGGCACCAGCTCGAGCTGTTATTTTATTATTGCACCATGATTAAACTGTTTTAAGGATCCAGACGTCTGAGACTCAGCTATGGGAAACTTGGGGCCAAACTGGTACAGAAAACTTGGTCTGACTGTGTGAGTGTGGGGTGCCTACATGGGAAGGGGTTTGGTTCCAGCTCAAGTGGATCAAGCGTGACTGCCAGAATGGCTCCTGGATAGTCAGACAGAGAAGTTTCCTTAACAGGCAGCAAGTGAAATGTCTATGTTTTTGACACAGTTAAACTCCTCCTGCTTCCTTAGTGGGATTGGATTCATAAATCTCATGTCACAAGGACATATGTCTCTGCCAAAGGAAGCTGAGAAACTTATATGGCAGACCTCACCCTCCCAAAAAATAATGGGCAAGACATTTGCAGGAATTTATTGAAGATTCCAGCACAGTTCCACTAAGTCAGCACTGCAGCATTCTGGGCTCAGTTCTACTTGCTGGAAAGCAGGCAGTCTTACAGACACTTTTACCTCTGTTGCTGGAATAGTTTTGACTTGAGGCAGTATTAAGGCAATCACCAGGTCTCTGTCTTGTGTAAGATCCTTGTCGTTCCTGGAAGGAGTTAGGAGCCAAACCTAAAGCTAGTCTGTGATGATTATATGAAAGTACTTTTGTACCCTGGTTCTAGTCTCTTACTCACTAGACTCAATTGCAGATTTCCCTCCGCGTTACCATTTAAGTTTGGGGCAAAATCTTCAACTAGAAAACAGGACAATGGCAGAGAGTGGAAGGGAGCAGGGCTTGTTTTCTTAGTACTTCAGCATTACTTTTGCCTTGAATAGTTTAGCCTGTTTGAAAAAGAGAACCCATCCCCTTCACCTGCTCCTCTCTAGGAAATCAGGCTGTTTCACGTGCCCAAGTAATCTAACCAATGTATGCACTGGAAACATGCACAAGACTCCAATATTGATTGGTTTGAAAGACTCTCCCTTCAAGCCTGCAGAGCAACTGCATGACTGAGCAATGGCACTCAGCTATTCAGACCTCCATGGGAAAAGGCACAGAAGGTGGCCTTGCCATCCTAGAAAGCACAGTGAAAGTGAAGTTAGAAGTTAGAAGTAAGCTTACTTATGTTTCCCTCAGGAGATGTGACTATACAAGTGCAAGCTTCCTTTCCCCCCTCCCTCCTCGCAAAGATTCACTCAACTAAATCCCCTTAGAATGCACAGCAGTTTATGGGAAGAACACAAGGATGAATCATCAAGAACATCCAAGACACTTCAATCATCACAGTCAAGACCAATTAAGTTCCAGTGCAATTTCCACCCACCTTTATTGGTTTCACTAGTCTCCCTGTATAAGGAAACTGCTGTTAGCAAGAAGAAAACAGGATATGAAAGTGTCAAGACAGTCAGTTCTGAATCACTGTCCTTGTTAGTTTGAGGATTCCAATTACATTATTTTAATGTGTTTGTCCAGAAGACAGGCTGGGGAATGCTACCCTGGCTCTTACTAGGAAGCTGTGAAAATAAGGACACAAGCAAGATCAAGTAAAATCTTCAGTTTTCTTCTCAGCTCCTCTGCAAGCCACTGTTTTGTCCCTTCCTCAGTCACTACCACCTGCTGACAAAGGTATCAGCAGATGAAAAGTCTGGGCCATACTGCAAGACTTCTCTTTTTTTTTTGCTGTTACAATGAATACAAACAAGACTGTGGTCAGTCTTCACTCTTCCGCACGCTGGTGTCCTGTCACAGTCAGAAGCACATATTGCAGCATCAGCTTCCCCTCTTGCACCTCAGGCTGCTGCTTTTCAGTCTTCAGTATAACTCACTCTATGACCTTTATTTACCCAAACCTTTGAGGTTCCAGAAGCATTCTTCAGTGGAGAAAGAAAAACAGAACAGCCATCCCTGCCTCCTCATTCAGAGGCACCAGAGAGAGACTCTTTAGAGGTCCTGAACCCCTTTCCTGCAAGGCTGCAAGGGAGGTGTTGGGGTGGTTCCTCATCGCCCTCTACAGATTATTCCTGTGCAGCTTTTTTGCTATGTTTAATTAGTACTTTCAACTGCAATGTCTAATTGGCCAATTAGCTTGGCATCGAAGAAGCCTGGTTTGTAGGGCAAGAATGAGTTAGACCATTAATACTGCTAGTCTTCCTAGACAATGGTAGATAGTTCTAGAGGTTCTGACCTTAGAGATTAGCCAGAAGTGTACAATAATAATAAAACCAAAGAGGTGAGAATTTCATGCTGATTGAGAAGAATAAATCATGTGCAGTTTCATAATAGCATTGCAATGCTGTGATATAGCAGATTTATGCACTACAGTGAGATCCCAAATAAAACAAGTATTAACGGACGGGTAGGTAGATATGCAAAACAAGAAGTACAGGATGATTTTTTTTAATGTAAAAAAAAAAAAAAAAAGACACTGTTGGGTAATACATCTGACCTAAACACAGTAAATACCTTAGTCACATTCCAGAGTTCTGCTTTAAGAATGAAGGGAACCCTTGACCATAGGTTTCAAAGCATAGGAACATTATTTGGGTGCCACTATATACAGCTATTTTATACTGATGAAATAGTCAGTTCTTAATTTAAGAGAGAAACAATGTCAGCCAATTTTAGCCATTTGCCTGTGGACAGCTGCATCTCATTTTGTGAGATGCATCATTCCTTCTGATCAAGTAATAGTTGAAGGCTAAGTTGCTCCAAGTTAAAAAAAAACAAAACCAAGAAGACTTTCCCACAATACTACTTAGTATTTTTAGTCATTAAGATACAGTGTTTCTTGCAAAACTCTTAGAGCAAGAATGAATGACAGGACTGTGTTAAGTGTGCAGCAAGAGGTAGCTATTGTTTTAGAGAAACTACATTTTCTCACGTGCTGTCTGGAAATGGAACTTCAGAGTAGACATTTTGAAAAAAAGTTATTAGTGGCCTGTAAAGGCTTCCTCATCTCAAAGGAAAATATTCCCTCCAGTGTATACTGCCATCTAGGTAGGTCAGAAGAATGTTAATCTTTTTGGACAAGTGGATCAAGTATATTACCAGTGAAGTTAGTGAACACTTTTTGCTTTAGGTAACTACAAGTGCCCAAAACAGATGTCAGCGTCACCTACGAGCTGATGATAATGATCTAGTCAACAGAAATCAAGATTTCAGTTGTGAATGCAGTGGACTTTTCAGATCATTTGTCCTATTAATATAATAAGATTTCATTAATGATTGAACTACAACAGATGCTGAAAAAATCTCTAGCGTATTTCTTTTGGTAGGCAGGAGTGTTCTTAAACTACTTCAGTTTTACTGTCAGCTGTACAGCCTTCTGAACCAGAACTGCATGGAAGCCAGTTTACAGGTGAGGATCAAGATTATGATTTAGTTAAATGGCTGATAGAGGAACTGTGGTAAACACTTAAAGCAACAAGCTTAAAGCATTTCAGAAAAGGAGAGACACGAAAAGCAAGATGATTAACAGTGAATCAACAAGGCACATTCCCCTTAAGGGAACTCTAACCAAATGGGTGTCAGATTACTAAATGAACAAACTTTCAAGTTAATGAAAGAAACTGGCCTTGCAAGTTTACAAACAGTTCTATTTAGGACTCAGAAACAAAAAAATTTAAGCTGACACATTAAAAGTTTTTTTGCAATTTCATACACTGGAGTAATTGTTCTGCTAAGAGAAGTCACATCTTCAACATATTCACAAGGTACCAAAAGACAGTAAGTTAGGATAAGAAAATACAATACAAGATATAAATATCCAGAAAAGGTCCTAAAATGATTCTACAAAGAACAAAGTACTAGGACAGAGAATGTTGCTCTGTACCTTTGTTGTAACCCTGTACGTGATATACGTCTCCATCGTGCACACATGTTTTTTGGGATCATCAACAGTAACAAAGAGGTCTCTAGTTTCCACATCCAAGTCATCATCCAGCTGCAATCTGTTAAGGAGAGATGAGGAGGAGGCTGGGCTAGAAGTGTCCACAGGTGTGCCATTAGGCAGACTAAGATCCTGTAAGAGAGGGAAAAAAAGGAAGTTTTTAATAAGTTTAACAGATTCAAGGGAAAGCACAGTATTTTCAAAGATGCCACTGTCAAGTTTCACCGACATATTATAAGGGTATTTACCCCAGCAGCTCCAAGGATCACCCTTTTCCAAGATACCTGAGCAATCCCCTAAGGTCTGGACTTTGACCATTAAGTTGTTCTACAAGTTGAAGAGAAAGCAAATTACCACCATTAACTCCCCTTAGTATGGCGCAACCGGCTTGCTATTCATAAGGAAGTAGAAATATTGCTGAACCAACACCTCCTGGTGAGACTGAACCAAATTAGACTCTGAAAACAAGTCAGCTAGGCAAATCAAGAGACCTACTTATAAGACAGGCTTCAGGTAAAGTGGCAACAGTTCAGTTGTCTGGAATGCAGTCAGCCTCTGGAGATTCCTACAGTAGAAGAAGGAGCTCAAACTTTCATCAGAGGCTTCCCATCTAGTCCATTAACATCCAAACACACTGACAGCAGTCAGAGCCTGAACTGCCATCACCACACTACAGGACAGTCACCGATCACACCCTTCTGCACCAGTGTCTAGGCACACCTCCCTTTTGGAGTTCTAATGAAAACACTACTTTTTCCTGGAAGAGGTCCTCATTCCCATCCTCTGCCTAAGGAAGACAAATGCTAGAAGATCCAGCAAGTGGCTATTTTAGGAAGACACATACAAAGGTTTAGGAAATCTGCAATTCCTTGAAATTGACTGGGAAGAAAGGGAAGGAAAAAAAAAAAGACCAACAAACAAACCCACCAAAAAAACCCCAAACACAAAAAAACCCCCACCAGCCTTATAGCTAACTTGATATATTTCCACACCTTCAAATCTCACACTTGAATACAGACCAACTACTCCATAACAGTGGTTACTCCACTTGCATAAATATCACAGAAACTTCACATGTTCTCTGCTCTGGTTTTGTAGCAGAGGGAGCCGACAGCATATGACAAGTTGTACAGCATGTAGGACGGGAACACCTGACAACAGTATTAAAAAGTCCTAAAGATCCGTGCCTCTCCTTTTCAGAGAAGACGGGATTTTTGTTTGTACCTTTTAACTAGTAGCACAGGAATAGATTTATCCACAGAGTGACTTCCCTTACTGCTAAAGAGAGAAACATCACTTCATCTAAGCACCACAGTAACTAGAATTGTTTTAGGTATACAATTAGTGCTCAGCCCCAGCCTCACACAGTCTTCAAGTGGCTAAACAAAACACAAAATCTTAGTAAAGCAATCATGTTTGGGTGAGACCCTCTCTGTTCATCAGTCCTTTCTTCAAAGGTTCAGAACTACAGGGGACAGCCTCAAGGTAAAGCTACTTACAAAGGTCTGCCTTTGACAATGGCTAAGAACACAGCTAAGTTCCTACTAGTCACTGTCAGAAACCCATCATGGGACTACTGGGATTTCACAGACAGCCATCTGTCTGCTGCAGTACTGCAGAACTGTGGCAGCGCTGCTCTTCACCTTGAGGGCCGCTTTATGAAGTAGAGAAAATAATGCTTTAGCCTAGACATTTTGGGAAAGGGTGATCTAAATTACTGTCTACTAACAGAGAGTTTAGATGCATTCTATCAACTAATACACACAAGTGGCTGCCAACAGATAAGAGATTCCAGATTTAACTGACGGGGAGCAAGAGTAGGAAGGTAGGCACTCAAATGCTCTCCTAAGAGAGCAAAAGATCAGGATGAGCATGGCACAGCTGGCCAGCTCAGACATAACATAGCTCAAAGTACATAAGAATCTGGCTCAGACTCAGTGTAGCAGGAGCATGTACAATAGGAAGAAGTAATGGTACAATACCTCTGCAGATAAGGAGTGCTGTTGAAGTTACACAAACAGAATAAGCAGAAGACAGGATAAGATTAGCAACAGGAGATGGCTTCAGAAAATCTACAGTTCAGCTAGACAGGAGAATTTGGCTGAGCAGACTGAAAAGCAAAGCAAACCCTGGGATACCACAGTAGCTGCACACAAACCCATTTCTGTTTCCAAAAGGAAAAGACAGTTCATCATTGCCCATATGCAATAAGCATTAGCGTATGACAAGTTGTGCCAGAACTGCAGCTAGTCAAATTATAAGCTTCCAGTATGGAAACGAATTACATTGCAGAAACAGCTTAAGCCTGGTTGCACAGGAGATCCCAAAAGCTTATAACAAAATTCTTCCAGAAGAGAGCTTAAAGAATACGATGGAATCCACTTAAAATACAAAAACTCTACTCTACCTGGAGGAAGGACCAAAGATGGGGCTTGCAGGCACTTGTATGAAGTTAGCAACTTTCCTCACCAATTCTGTTAGGAGATAACAATATCACACTAGCATGTCTTGCACATTTTAAGCAGGGCAGAAGCCTGTGAAGGCTTGAATCCACTTCATTGTACTTGAGTGTGTTCTTGCAGTCATGGGTCCTATGGTCTTAAAGGCTGTGATAGTTTTACCTTGGATGAAACACTCCATATCTAGATGAAGTAAAGCTTCTATACCAGCTGTGGTTCAGATCAGGAGAGGTGCCAGCTGACGTGGTGGGGAAAGGACAGATGGTGTGTACAACGTGCTATACTGCCTTATCCAGGACAGCAGGATTCTCCCTGACAGTCACTGCTGGCATCATACCCTGCTGCTTGGCTAGTTTTCAGCAGACGAAGGCCAAGTTAGGAGCTAACTATTTCTCCTTCTTAATGGGTGGAACTTCCTAGCTAAGTGCACCAGGAACATTACTTAAGGCTGCTGAACCCTCATTTAAAAGGAGGAAGGATCAGTCAACTGAAGTCTGATGCTAATGCTAGAAAGAAGTAGGCTTTGAAGTGTCACAGCAGAAGATCCAGCAATCTGTCTCAAGCTGTTATCCTATCAGCAGAAAACCTCCTTGTCATATTAATTAGCACTGTCTTTCTTTCACAGGACTCGGACTTTTTTTGCAGTTGGAGAAGCAAGACTGCAACATCTGTGTTAGTCTGCTTTTACCACAGAAAGAAAAGTATGTCCTGCAGTGCCGAGAGCACTGCAGCACAGAAAGGAGATCTGCAGCCACCTGTGTTTCTACCTGTTGGTATAGCTATCATACTCCCAAGCATCTGATATATTGGCTAGTATTATCTGTTTTATATAACAGAGTCTGACTTCAGCGTCAGGACTTAAGCACCAGCTTCGCCTTTAGTGCACCAAGCAGCTGCCCATCAACTGTTTTAAGTACCTATCTGCATTATCAGAGATCAGCGCAGTCCAAGTCACAGCAGGTACCCAGTGCTTACAAAGCCTTGTTGTCATAGCACCTGTTACTCACAGTACAGTCAGTCTGCCTTAAATCTGAGCAGTCATACAGCAGACAGAAAGGGAGGCTGCTTCTGGCAGCCAGGCAGATGGCGTGGAGGACACGTTTTGTCAAGACATTCTTCACTTCTTAGAGAGCATCCACAGAGATTTCCTCGAGCTTCAAAGCTTTTTCTAAAGTAAAGAGCAAAGATCCTTAGTCTTGGTCCCTCACTTCCTCAGGGCAGTCTCCTCCTCAGGACAGTCTCACAGCTTTGTCACCTGCTGAAGCAGGTCAGGTGAAGGTCCACCAAGGCCTGGATCACAACCTACAGCAGAAATAGTGTGCCATTCAGACCTTCAGGTTAAGTACTAGGCTCTTGCGTACAACTGTAATACCACCACAAGGCAGGCTTTTAATGCATTCCTTAGAAGTTCCTAGAATCTCTCAAGACATCCAAATTTATGGGTACATGAGATCAGAAAGATTTTAAGAGCACATGTTTGGTATCCTATAGTGCCAGACAAGTAGGAACTAACTGCCTGTGCTGGAAATGCATGAGCCTTGCCAACTATGCAGGCTGCTCTCTGGTAAGGCTGTTCACATTATTTTGTTGTCTTATGATGTCCAAACACCTTGACCAGTTAGCCTGCCCAGAAACAGATACTAAATCTATCAAAAAGCTCACTTCATCCAAGTTTAAAATCCAACTGAATTTTATAAACTAGAAGTCTGTATGCAAGACTTAAAATTCCTTGGAAAGTTTCCAGCAGTTCTCATCTTCTCCCAGGAGATTTTCCAAGACTCCATTTACAGAGCAGCTTGGATCCACATAAAGTAAAACTTCAGGAGTTTGGTATCCAGTCTTCTGGATGGCAGCCTCCCCCAGTGGAGTAATATGCCAGAGAAAGCATCCAGTACTCAAGCCTTAAAGACTAAAAAAAGGTCTAAAATTCCATAGGTATTGTTGTATTATTGTCAAGTGAAGACCACATGGTTTCCTGCAGCTTCCACAAACTGAATCTTTTCACCTATCCTGCCTTAGCAAGTGTACAGCTTAACCAGACAGTTTTGCTCTCTAAGCAGCAATCCACAAAGGAAGCAGAAGATGTGGCTCAGCTAGGCCTTCCAAGAATACATAAGCTTATCTCTGGAAAGGGCTAGCCTGAAACTATATGATGCTGCATGCCCATTGCTCCCATTCAACAAGTTTTATATGACAGTAACAGACATTTAGAAATGTTGCTGTTTAGAGGCAAGTGGTGCACTTAACCCCTAATATCCCTGCCTAACTTAACGACCTTAGGGCCAGGCCTGTACTGCTTCTAGAACCTCACAGCTTCACTGCAGAAGTGTACATTTTCTCCTTGTGTTTCAAGGTGTTCCACTGCTTTTGCCATTCATTTTCCAGAGACGTGACCACAGACAGAGTCATTTTAAGGAGACAACAATTCCACTCAACAACTGCAGCTGGTTTCTGTAACACTCTTATCTCCATGCCTTCAGTACAGGAGAGTAAGTCACAGCAGAATGGCAGCCAGTGACTGAAAAGCTGAAGCGGTTTAGATGTAAACATTCCCAAGGACACTATAAAAGCTTACATTAACTTGGCTTTCACAGATGTGTTCATAAGACGTTCAGTGCTTGTCTTATCCCAGTGAGTTTTGAAAGCAGGTGCTTTTTGTGTACAGAGCTCTGT